GCGGCATCTCTGTAGTCGGGGGGGGGGGGGGGGGGGGGGGGGGGGCGAGAGAGGATTTACGCTGCACGAGAGCCAACGGGAGCCTCGTTCCTTGATGACGCGCGCCAGCCAATGGGAGCATAATCCGTCAGAAATAGGCTTCATTTCGCTCCGTTGGGAAAGGGGATTTTAGGTGCCGTTTGGCCAACTTTTGGCATGGTTTCAAAGCTGATGACATGAGTTCGCTCCACGGGACAGTTAATGTTTTCGCATTAGTATATGGAAAAAAAACGCAATTTTATGTTTTTTTTTTTTTTTGTTTTTTTTTGCGCCGCTTTTGGCGTTTGTTTTCAGGTCTAGCGGCGTCGGGCGTAACCACGCTAAATTTAGCAGGCAAATTGACGTCACGTGATCTCAACAGCATTTCGATTCCCCGCTAAATGTAGCGGGGAAAATGACGTCACACGACGTGGTGTCACGTAACCAATGAACAAATTCAGTTTCTCCGCTAGATTTAGCGGGAAAATTGACGTCACGTGCGGATGAGGAGGAGGGGAAGGCACGGAAGACGAAGAGGAGAGAAGGAGGGTGGAAGGAGCGGAGAGGGGGAGCGGGATGGGAGAGGGGGAGTAGAAGAAAATGAGGAGGAGCTGCGGTCATTACACGTTGTGTAGGTTATCTGCTTGAACATGAAAAGCAACTCCGACAACATAAAAGAAATTGCCACTCACGGTGAGGACAAAGGCGAAGTTTGGGGCTGCCGTATTTACAAGGTACGATCGTAAGGACCAACGCATTTGGCACACCTTGCAAAATTCCAATTCCAAATGTACATACCTGGAACTGGTCACCCGAACATAGTTTCGCAAGAAGCTTTATGCATATTTTTTTTTTTTTTTTTCTTTCGGAGCTTAACTAATAACTCGAGGGTTGTCAAAAAAATTAAGAAAGATCGGAGGCCGCACTTTGGTTTATGAGGTCGCTCCCGGATGGCTTGCTGAACGCAAAAACGCTAAGAACCAATAATAGAGGCGGGCGATCGTCGATATAAAAACTATAACTAATCATATATTAACAATGACCGCCTGGGAGCGAGATCACCCAGCAGTGTGCAGATGGGGAAAATCCAGTAAAGGGCATAGGAAATGCACGGACGCCGTTTTTGTTATATTATTAATATTTTACCACCACTAATTGAGCTCTCAAAAAAGAAATTGACATAACTTATTCCGACAGAACGTTCGTGTGTGTAAAGTTTTAGGTATGTGCGTTTGGAATACGAATTGTGCAAGGCGTGCCAATTGCAAAAACCTTTAACGCCGCACCCTATAGGTACCCTTTCTAGCCTCTCAATGGCCAAACAGAATGTAGGTGCCGTTTTGAGTGTCGAACAGCCTCGAACCCAGTCGCGAGTCTAGGGGGCAGCACATGTTGCCGCGTGCATGGCCGAGAGGGAACGCACGTGGCTCTCACCCGGGCGTCCGGTGCTCTATGCCCGGCATCCGACATTACTTTCTTATTAATTGCAGTAACCAAAATACACCATCTTCCCGAGGGGAACCATGGGGTGATGCGGAGCATCGCGGATCGTTATTAACGGTGTTATTAATGGTGTTAGTAACGTTGTTAACTTGCGTGTTATTACGTTGTTAACTTGCGTTGGTTACCACACATCGCGTGAACGTTGTTGGAAACTCCGCGATGCTCCGCATCACCCCATGGTTCCCCTCGGGAAGATGGTGTAATTTTTTTGCTTCCATCACACTTCATCGGAAGAACGGAGTGAAGTGGAGTCAACAGCGGGAGAACTGAACGCACGCAGCGCGCTACGGCTGCTTATATTCACACTTGAAGGAGAGGAGACTAGAGGAGGAGAGTTGCGCATGCGCGCGGTGTGAGTAGAAGCGAACGCACGCGAAGTGCACGCAGCTGGTAGAGAGAGAGAGCGGAGAAAGTAACGCGCAGCTGTTGGAGAGAGGGAAGGAGGAGAGTTGCGCATGCGCAGTGTGAGTGCGGACTACGACGCCGCGGGACATAGACCCGAGCAAGAGATGCTCCGCATCTAAAACGTTCAGCCTTTCCACTCTGGTGAAGAAGGAAGACCAGCGGAGCTGTACTATAGGAAGTAATGGCCGGCGGCAAGTCGGCAAGCCAAAGTGGAAAGGCAGCCGCCATCTATGAGCGACGGCGGCAATTAGATATGTGGCTTGCCGCCGTCGCTCATAGATGGCGGTAGGTGTCCAGAGTTCGGCGTCTTCATTTCTTTGCGGGGGACACGATCCTGGAGAAACTAGCCCTTAACAGCTCCGCTGTAAATAGAAAGGACAGGAGAATCTTTTTTTCGAAAGTGAAGGAGCAAAGCTCCTATTTTACCGCCCCCCCCCCCCCCCCTCCCCCCAAAATGCAAGCCGCAATTTGTTTTTTTTTTAGGCGGTTTTTGTGTTTGGAGGATGGAGGACACAGAGAAAAAGGCATGGTGTCTGGCAACGCCTTCAATTGCGATGATGAAGGTGAAGGATGAAGGTGTCAACAATTCAATGTTGACACCTTCATCGTTCAGGTTTGAATAAAATAGAAAACAGAAGTGCTAAAATCGCACTAGGACACCGCTAAAACAAAAGCAGTAAAAACACGGCCATACGTAAAAAAGAGCCCACCCAACTCCCTCTAAAAAAAAAAAAACTAACAAGAAAAAAAAAAGCGCGGGCTCAGGGTTACTTTGTCCGTCTTTTCTTAATTTGTTTACTCTCGATTTTTTTTTTTTTTTTTTTTTGTAGCTGACTTTTGTTTTATCTTGCGTTTGACGGCACCGAACTCTACGAGCCATTAAAGCCAAACCAGCGCAGTGAATGTATCTCGTGACTTCGTTCCCCGCACGTCCCTGCTGAGCCCTTCCCGAAGGTCACGTGAAACTGATACGGCATTGGGTTGGCTGGAATGACTCGTAGTAGCGTCCGCTGCTGTCCATCGTATGCTGAATCGGGACTTGCATCCGTTCACAAAGCAACAAGTCTGTTTCGGGTCTTCCCTTCTATCCCACGCGGGTTTCCGAAACCGGATCATTTTGTCCTAACGCCGTGCCTGAGACACGCGATAAACACTCAATTTTAAGAACTGAAAAGAAAAGGGGGCACGAGGTACACCTAAGCACTTCTTACGAGTTGTGAATGCGAAAGCATGCACGCTTCTCTTCCGCATTTTTTTTTTTTTTTTTTTTACTTTTGTTGACGGTTTAGCACGCACACTGACCTCGGGCGTGGAGCGGTGGAGCCGCTGCCTCGCGGACACGCAGCGCCATGGGATGGCCGTCATTGAAACTAACACGCAGCGGCCAATGGGAGCCTCGTACGTCGACGCGTGCCAGCCAATGGAACCGAAGCCGAAATCCATCAGCTTTACTCCGCTCCTTTGGGTTCGGGGGGAACTAGGTGCCGTTTCGCTAGGCTTTTCGCGTGGTTTCATAGCTGGGAGCTGGCTTCACGTGGAGAAAGGATTTAAAGAGATGCTGAACCGAAATTTGAATTTCCCAAAACACGCGGCAAAAGCGTGCAACGGGATGCTACAAACACCAAAACATCACTCATACAGCGATATCTCGAACGGATGACCGTATTTTTCAAAAAAAGGAGGCGCATTTGGCAGGAATGTTGACGTCAAGTTTCTCCGAGAAGGAGAAGGAACGGCCTCGCGTCTTCTCCGCCTCGCGGCCTTCAGGGAGCGAAGCAAAGAGAGGAGAAAACACGGTATCTTGACGTCACACGCCTCGTCGGCCTGGTTCAATCTCGACCTCTTTTTCCAAAAATACGGCTGTCCATTCGAGATGCCGCCTTGCGAGTAGTGTTGTGGGGATTGTAGCATCCTGCCTTCATCTCCTGCATTGTTTTTTTGAAATCCAAATGTTGGTTCACCATCCCTTTAAGGTGCCGTTTGGCGCGGCTTCAAAGCCGATGACGACGGCTCGTTCCATGGGACAGTTAATACTTTCGCATTAAAAATACCTATTTTTTGTGGCTTCTCAAAAACTGCACATACGACAACTGAAAAAAAGAAATGTTGCACAGAGAACGGGAAGCACTCTGTGCATTCTCAACATGGCGTCTTATCGCGGGAGTCGTGGCGGACAACGGGCGTGGGACCTCCACTTAACGACTGTTGTTCGCGATACCGGCGAAGCTGTCTAGCTTCAAAAGAAACACCGTTTACCGATAAAAATAAAAAAAAAATTAAAATTTATTTTGTACGACATGCAAAGACAAGCACGAAGTGCTTGATTTCGCATTCTTCGTGCGACATGCGCGTTTTTCGTCTGCTTCGCACGGCTTGAAAAATTGCGATGGCTTAGCTCGGCTATGCCAGGAGATACGCGAGCGCGAGCTTATGCGCACAAGATGAGAGGCGCTATCAAGCGGCTCCGGTGCAGCGTCAGACTTGGCTACTGCGCAACGGAGGCGCACAGCTGGGCACGCGGCGGCGCCAGTGCGTCTGCCGCGGCTATAACGTCACTCCTCTGGAATGCGCAGGCCGGCGAGGCGCGCGCGGCGGCGGCGGCTCCGGCGCGCCAGCTGTGTGCCGTGTGACGTCACTGTTCCTCGCGCACGTGCAGCACGGCTCTTTGGGAGCCACGCGAAACTGCTCAACCTCGGCCAGTGCAGCTCATGCTACAAACACGAGGGAAAAGAAATAAGAAAATGGGGTTGGGTGTAGTCACGTTACTTCTGGCAACTCTCTGTTTTACATTTCTTCCTCCCCAGTTTAGTTTCGGTGTCACTTTCAAGCAGTTGCGTTTTTTTTTACCTTATTAGAAATATACGTGACGCTGTAGCAAAATATTGATTGGGTAGTCTTCTGGCACCATAATCTAAGCAGTCGCATCCACCCCCCAAAAAAGTATTTTAATTTAAAAAAGGAGAAAAGCGGCCACAGACAAGAGCCAAAAGGATGCAGGACAACAAAGAGTAATAATAATACAAAAAACACTGACAGAACGAAGCCTTAAACATAGCTTGGAAGATGAATCACAATTTTTCACCATTAAAAGGGCCATTTATTTATTCAACAACATTGTAAGCAACAAGTTATGCTCCTGTGTTCTTGCGAGCGGCAATGCAACTCCAAATCTTATAACCTTTAGTCACGAGCGTGCGCATGATATATTTTTGTTCAATATATACCTATATAAATATATGAACAGCACACCCATATTGTGCGTACATGCACATACACGGAGATCCAGAAAAAAAAAAGGGGGGGGAACAAGTTCTTCCATTAGGTTTTCTTTGTTCTCTTGGTAACACCAACAGTTTTGTGAGTAGCACAACATTAACTTCTGAGACACCACATTTCGATTGCTCCTGCTAAAGACTCTTGTCTTCGAAGAAAACTTCTGGTATAGCATCTAAATTTGTACATAACATGGCAACTATATTGGAACAAAAAAAAAAAATGTTGACCAAACAATTTTTTAACACAGTTTCTTGTTTATATCCCGACACAGCACCGCGGTAAAAAGCCGAAGCGTACAGCCCTGCACAATGTTGGGAATTCTGGCTTCACCATAGTCTTTGGCCTAAAAACCGCAATGTACCTGTGAAAACAATTCTCAGGCATGCACCTTGAAGCCAATTGAGGCAAAATTGACAAAGCCTTGTATAGTAGTTCTCTTCGTGTGGGCCTCCGCAACAAATGACCAGCTTTCTTTTCAACTAACGTAAATAACTAGCCTACCTATTCATATCGATAAAGTTCCGTAAATATACCTCTTCTGAAGCCGTAACATTACCAACTCTACGGTGTTTCGCCGCAAACGGTACAGCGCAAGGACCGCTTTCCGTCAGTGACCTTGAAATAACGCCAAGCGAGGTTGACGAAGAACAACTTTGTGGAATGGGAAAGTATATCACATGTCGCCCCGGCCTTAGCCCTAACTGAGTCGGTTAGCAAAAAGCACTCGCAGAGAGCTAGGGCCAGAACGGCCGACAGCATTAACAAAAGTAACAATTACCGAGGAAAAAAAAAGGGACATTGCTCATGAGTAGCAAGGCTGGCTTTGTTATAGCAAACGCTTGCTGACACGTTTCCTTGTGACTGGCCATCGGGGAACAAACCTGCACGTTCACGGAGAGAGAGAGAGCAGAGCCGATCTAGTAAAACCAGACCACCTACAAGCACTTCAAACGAAGTAATCCTTAAAACCAAAACCGAAGAAAAAAAAATATTAAAGCAGCAGACTAGCATTCCACTGGTAACAACTACTAGGAGCGACTAGCATTCTTCTGTTTGCAGACGGGACCCAGAAAATTCCCAAGACTAGGGGGGAATGAGACCTTGCGTGCCCTTGGGCTTGGACGCAGAGGAGGGAACACGTTCGGAGTTCCCACAGTATTCTGCACTATTGTGTTGCTCGGTCGAATGAACAATTTACATGGGGCCAAGACAAGAACAGAATGTATAAAGCAAACCACAATTTTAACAGAACTCACAGCCTTGCATAAAGTTGGAAACAAAGTTGTGACATGATCCAACAGCAGAAAAGACATCCCTTCTAAACAGGCTCTAAGTAAAAGCAGAGCCAATGGGTTCCTGCTTCGAGTCAAATTGAGCCTTATTGTTCTCGATGTAGTCTGTACTTGGAGTACTCTGTGCAGGCTGTTGAAGGGTGCACATTTAGCCTTTAGCTACAATGGGCATATTGCATTAATTCATTCCTCAGTGCCACGCAAGATACCGTCGAGACAGAGCTATGTGGCATATTATGAGATTTAGTTCTTAAATTGTGGCAAAACTTGGCTAAACTGGGTTAAAGTTAAGGCGACAAAACAGTTTGGGTGCCTAACCTGGTTTGCAGCAGATGGTTAATGTCATTTTAGCACAGCAGCCACTGAACGAGTACACAGTGCTCAACAAAACGAAATGGACCAGCGCCGCAAATGGCCTCGCTCGAGTAACTGCGCATGATTCGCTTGAGGAGTGTATGCAATCATAAAATGTATACATCTAGCATATACAGTTACTCTAGCTTAGAATAACCACATGGCTCTACCGATTGATCAATCTAGTAATTTCCAGAGTCTCTGTACCTACACGGGGCCATGCGCTCCACTGGTCCAATTCGTGAGCACTGTATTCGTCGACAATAAAACGGTTCCCATCTACAGCATTTTTAACAACCAAACAATAAGGAAGATTTTTCTTTTTACAATGTCTGATCCAGTTGCTTGACACAAATACTTCAAATCGTTAAAGGCCAACCTATAAAATATTCTTTTGCAAGGCTGAAAATCTCCTCCTTGCACACATCCACAGAGAAACAAGAAGCTTCCTTTGCACAAACTTTGGGAGAAGATAACTGAGATGCAAGAAAGCAATCTTTGGATTCAGCTCACTTGGAATTCACCAACTTGCTTGCCTTTGGTCATTTAGAAATGAGATCGTCCCTCAAGCTGAAGAAATTACGACTCAAATCTGAGAGAAAAGCTTCTTAACACAGACTATGCAATGGAGTCACCTAGTAGGCCCTGTAAACCACCAGACAGTTTGGGAACGCAAGTGCCTTTTGTTAAGCCTACCAGAAAACTAGGTGCCCACCACAAAACGTATGCTGACTTAGCACTGCAGCTATGTGCTAGCTACAATCGAGGCACGGTGCACTTGTTGCTCAGCCACGCAGCTTCGAAAACGTGGCCAAAGTCAGTGACGGTGCGATCTACGCTCGATGTGGCAGCAAGCACACGAGACAACAGTGCAAAAAACACGGTTCCAAAAGAGTGCCACAAAAGAGCTACAAACCCTGGGCTTTTGAATACCTCAAGACATCTCTGCATTTCAGGCAAGACGACGAGCTACCTAATGGCCTTGGTGGTGTGCGTTACTACCGATCATTCTGAATCTATGTTGCTGTTGAGTAACAAACTTCTTTTTTATACTACAGTGGACGAGCCCAATAACAAGGATAGAGAGGCTGTGTTCTAACCAATACAATACTTTCAGGGAAGAAATGGTAACAATGCGGTGATATCAAGGGACGGACCTCGTGAGTCGCAAAACGGTCGCCTGCAGTTGTGACGAATTCGCTTCGACACCGTTACGTTAAAGGGACGCCGCCGGTTTTGATTCGGGCGTCCGGATCAGTACCCTCTTGTCGTCGGTGACACGCTCACTCTTATGATCTCGTAAGTACCGCTAAGGTGGTCTTTCCGTGGGCCTTTAACCTGGAAAAAAAGAACTGATTGAACGTTCCAAACTTGAGCTGACGCCATTACTCAGACGACGACCAGAGATTGAAGATGTTGCCAACCCCACACGACAATGTCAATTGTGACGGTACACACCGTGGAAACGGTATTTCCTTTTACCAGAGTCGGACGCGACGGGGACAAGAGAAAACCCCCAACGCAGCTAGAGAAATAAATTATGGAGGAGGAGCGAAAACAACTATCATCCGCTAGTATTATTTACAGCGCCCCATACCCTAAACGCGTCGACTTCTGTCACCGCCTCCAGAAACTGCACCGCGGACAACGACTTCTAAACTTTAAACTATTTACATGCGGTAAAAACGCAAACAAACAAACATGAGCTATCCAGGGCATTTGTGAGAAGCCAAGGGTAAGTCACACGGAAGACGACGCGCAGGAATGAACACTCTCGGGCAAAACTCGGGAACTGCAACAAGAAATTGCTCCTCCGCCTCTTTGTCTTAAGCGTTGCCCTTGCATTATGTACACGGTCCGAGGAGCCCGCCACCCACGCACGCCCACGTGTCGGACACAAACTTCACGATTCCAAACTTTGCAAACGGCTCCCCTCAAAACGTCAATGCCTCGTTTCAAAACGGGACCAAAAGCCGGTGTGTTACGAAGGGACGAAGTGACGAAGACGTCTTTTGACGACACTTCCGCGGCAACCGCTTACGCCGACTCTGTATAACACGCCGACAGCGCATTCCAGATTTTCTAGCTGGAAACGGACAGCCGACGCAGCAGTACTGCACAAAATGCGATAACGTTCCGCTTCCGCGTCTGCGACGGATAAAAGCCTTTGTACTATGCAACGACACTTGCACACCTGCCTAGGACAGAGTTCTCACCACTCTACCGTTTGCCTCCGACACACACCTCCCCGAATCATGCTCTCAAACGCGCTCGAACGCCCCAACTCGCACTCCGACAAACACGATGGCTACCGACCCAATCTTGCGAATCCCGACTGAGAACACCCCCGAAGCCTTTCGACGCCATTTTCTTTTAGGTTACGTCGCCAGTGCCATTGCCCTCGAAAGGCGTGTCACGGTCAGCGTCGTCTTCTCGCATCTCAACACCCATCGCCGCAGAGTCAGAACGGGCATCGGCAACCCCACGAATGTTGAGGCATAGCCTCGAGTGATGTCGAGCCACTTAGAGCCTCCTGGGGTCACCTTGAGTCACTTGGAGTCACCTGGAATCACTCCACATTGCGCGGCTAGAGTGACGTCCCGAACTCAGGGGCCATGGGTGGTTCCTTCATTCGCGGCGAAGGCGAGGGTGCCAGAGAGTCGCCGTTGGACGTGTCGCCAATGGAAGTCGTGTCGAGGCAACTGAGGGACGACGGCTGGTTCATGGTCTTCTTGAGGATGCCCCTGATGCGGAGGTCCGTTCCGCCCGGCGACGTGGGGGTCGGGGGAGGCGGTTGAGGACAACTCAGGGTGTTCGCCCCGCCCGTGGGCGGAGACAGGGTGTTGCTGCTGCCTCCGCTCAGGGAGCCGTGACTGCGTGATGAAGAGCCATCGCGTTCGCGCTGGAACAGTCGGCGTGCCGTCGGTCCTAGCCGGAGAACCTGGCAAAAGAAATGTTCCGAAACCGGGGTTCTCAAGACTTTTTGTTCTCGAGGAACGCCCATCTTGCTCAACTGAGAGCCTAGGAACCCCTGCCAGTCTTGGCAGCGATATAATGAAGCAGTGCAGAAGCCTACAGATCTTGTAAACAATAGTGCACATATCGGGGAGTGTTCGGACCTGATAAGATACATTTTAATCTTTTACTAAAAAAAACCTCTGGGATCCTTTTTGTATGATGAATTTTGGGTACCAGACTGCATCGGTGGCCTGATAAAATACTCCGCCTTAAACATGAAGTAGAAGAGTTAGAGTCCGAAACAAGAATGCAGTGCTCGGCCCAAACGTGTGCACCATTGCTTCCTTCTAAAGTTGGGTAAAAGTCTTGATGAGTGCACGCAAGTGTCCAAGTGCCCAATTTAATGAGCATAAAGTGAGAGGACTCAACTGCTCCCACGTTGTATCACTACAAAAATTCAGCTCCAAAATATTCTATACATAGGAAAAATGAAGTTTGAGTGTTAAGAAAACTTGACAAAATTATTTTTTGACGCTTTCACAGCGTCAACAAATTTGCCATTTGCTGACCATGCTAACACTTGTATCTTACCTCACCTTACAAGTTTATTCTTGAGACATTAACGTTTGTTCCACGTCTACTTTACATACTGGTCCACGTCATATGGCGTGAAGCATTGTTTTTCGGTGCGTTTTTTGTTTGTCTAATGGCATTTTTTAGGGCACCAGAAAGTTTAAACTGAGAGCGTTTCTCTACAAACAAAATGCTTTGGTTCACGTTTCATGCTCTATAATTTATGCACAACAAGACAAATTTTGGTCTGGTGCAGTGCTCACCTGCTTCATACACAGCAAACTTTCGTGGTCCACTTTCCTCAGCATGTCCATCCTCGCCTCTACAATGCTAGCATTCCAGACGAAATGCTCAGCAGCCTGTGCAAGAAAGGAAGTCGAGTTAAATACAGCAATATTCTAACCAATATTTATATATTTTAGATATTTGCACATATCCAAGATGGGTATTATTGCAAGCGCAAGCGAACCATATTGATCTGCACCAATGATATACCTTTTCAGCTTTCTTTCCTTTGAGTCCCACTGCAGCACAGAGGCCATTCAAGTCCTCTGCATGGCTCTTCATGGTCTTGTGGAGCTCGTTCAGCTGTTGACACAAAGAAGCTAGTTTCAATGGTAGTCCCTGACCATTATCTGCCAAGACACAAAAAATAGTCCCGACCCAATTTACATTACAAACAGAAACCAACCATTCCTTAGCACTTACAGTTTTGAAGACGCCTTGCGAAGTTTCGGAAATCGTCTTGCACTCTGTCAGCACCTTTGAGAGAAACACAATTATGGAGAAGACTCTTCATACACTAAAACATGGATAACCATTTTAGAGAGCTCAATGCTCACTTGTCCCAGGATAGAAACAAAAGAACCAAGTCATGGTACACCAATACCGCATTTCCCAAAAGCACCGTAAGTCTTGGGACAATTGTAACAATGAATGAAGGCAAAGTCAAATAAAATGCTCGTGCACAGCAAGCACCCCGTTAATGAGGCAGAAAAAAAAAAGATGCAATGTAACACTACGCAAATTGCAACTCTGGTAAAATGACCCGTGCAGCGTCCAGTCAAAATGCTGGGTCTGTTGCTTCGCACGGAAATTCATGGAACCTCCTTCCTGCAGGAGGTATTCACATGTTATCGGCACGAGCGGTGAATAAAGCAACTTGTCATCTGCCATGAACAACAGTTTCGATGGTTCGAAGGAATTCGGCGAACGCTCGATGTCGGCACGCGCTTAAAGGCCGACCCACAGAATAGTCTTCTGACAGGCAGAAAACAGGTTCCCAGTTTCCGTCTTTCCATTTCCTTTTGCACTCTTCGCTCCCCCTCTCCCCCCAGGAGCGGGTCTCCAAGCCACTCCCCAAGAGAGGAAGAGGATCTCCCTCTTTCTCAAACGGAAAGGAGGAATTGAGGAAGTTTCCTCCTTTCTGGCCTTTAACTGCAAAGTGCATAGCTATGGCCATCAGTGGATCCTAGCCCCGAAACAAAATAAGGAGCATGTTAGGGAAAGTAGTAAAAACAGAAAAAATGAACTACTCAAAGGGAAGGCTGGAGGACATTGTTAAATCATAGTAGCTAAATCTGTTCTCTGTCCCTTCCAATGTTTTATTTCAGTTTTTACAACTTGCCTTTACATATCCGCCCCTGCCCGCCCGCCCGCCGCCCGCTGCCCGCTGCCCGCTGCCCACTCCCCGCCCTCTGCCCCCCCCCCCCCCCCCCTTCCCCCACCCCTGCTTATGCAGAGCTTGAAAGAAGGACATCCCTGAACGCTGAATGCAAAAGCCACCCACCTTTTCGAAAGCAGAGACTAGCTTAGTTGCCTTTACCGTGAGCTCCCCCTGCACTTTGAGAACAGGACACTGAAACGCAAGGGTGGAAACATAAATTTGCTGTCCGTGCACCACACAGGATACGATAAATAATGTGAAGAATCTGAGCTAGTGAAAGTAGTAGCAGGTACCTTATCACCAGTTAGAAATCCTGTAAAGAGAGACTTCGGCAAACTCTCGTGACGATGCCAAGCCTGCTGTCTTTTCAACGAATGCAAGGTTGCCATATTTTCTTGGGCAGCAGCTGCAGTGTTTACAAACAGGACCCGTCCCTCTACTTTCCTACGATGCTTATGTGGCAAATAACGAGGTCGAAAAAACTATTCTTTGCAAAGATGCAATCTGCACCGAATCTTGTGCATTTGAAATGTCATGCCGAATCTGTCGGCAGCGGTGGCCATTTTCGCATATAATTCTCTCTCGCGAGTCATTTGCTACGCTCCTTCCAGGAATTATTTTCCTGGAAGAATTAACTCGTGACTACTGCGGCAGGGATTATTCTCGTCAAGCCTTACGAGTTGCATTTCAAGATTGCGAGACTGCTTTCTTGAGCTGCAGTATGTTTTACGAACAAAAGTGCCGACCTCGGGGATGGTGAAGTCTCTCAATTTTAAAATTATCAAAGCATGTTGATGTTGACAACATCGCGGCACTTCCTGCCACTTGGATAGTATCCCATTCCACTAACTCAGATCACATGTCATTAAGCCACGAACAACCCAAAGTGGCAACAAATGACGTCGCAGAAGCCAGAGTGTCGACCCGGAACCGAACCAAAAACTGGAATCGAACTGTTATTTTTAGCCGAACTGGAACTGAACCATACCGAAATCTTTGCCACCATCTAGGAACTGAACTGAAAAAAAAAATGTAGCGGTAACCAATTCAAGACGGTTCGCGATAAGGTGTGTTTTCTTTTTTGTTTATCCTTTCTGTTAGTATCGCAAAATGAATATCTGAGTAAAGAAATTTGGCAGCTGTCTTCCTATATACCGATCAAACCTGCAGAATCGCAATGCGTAAGAAATTGTGGGTTCTCAAGGCATTTTCGTATTGGCACTCTGGTTAATTGGGTCTCACGTGGTCACTCGACATGTATGGTGTCAAGTATGGTGCCTGGATGGAACGCGTCTCCGACTGGTGCATTTACCGCACCCTAAGAAGCGGTCCCTTGATTTCCGCCAGATGACGTCTTAGAAATGTCACGCTGTCACTGGTGGCAATCCTGGTTGTGTCCGACCGGCGGCGATTAATGTGGCAGACGCCTGTCTTGATGCAGATCACTCTCCAGTGTGGCAGTTCACGCTAGCTTTGTTAGCCAGAAGTTAAGACGCTGCGACGACGGCGACACTTGCGTTCGCTCGTGCTTTTAGCCGGCATTTCTACGACCATCCACCAGGATCGCGACATCCGACACTCCGGCTTCTGCGACGTCATTTGGTGACACTTTGGGACCGCTTTTAATGTATGGGCGGGATGGGACACTAATCACACTTGGAGACGTGCTCCAGGCACCATAGCACCAAGACGTGCCGTCAAGTAACGTCCCGTCAAATGGCCCCTCACGTCACGTGACGTAGTCGAGTGACTCGCTGCGTCAAATCGATTTAAATTTAGATTGTCACTACATTTATTAGCATTGCTGACATCGTGACATCAAATGACATCATGACTTCACACTGCAAGTCGTGTTGCACCCTAACATACTTGATTGTCGTAAGCTGGAGTCGAGTGCTCGGGCTAATGACAATCGGCATCACCAGACGTTCGCGTAATGGGGATGAACTCCTCCGGACGTTCGCGTAATGGGTATGAACTCCTCCAGGCTCCATCACTCCCTTGACCTGATTCACGCCTGGACGTCTCATGCGCCACGTACGTGCATGCGCAGACAAAGCACACCAGAAGGCATAGAGCGGGTGCTAGAGGCTGAGCTTTTGAAAGCAATACCCTGCTGTTCTCACGTGTTCACCGTAAAATGTGCCACCAAAAAAATTGGATGTGCAATGTGGTTTACAATTGAGTTGACTTATGATCGTGTAAATACGGTATGCATATATTTTATCATCTTTTTAGAGCCCTTTTGGAAGAAACAATTTTCGGACACTACCAATATCTTCACCACCGCGAGAGATTCATATCATCGAGATTCTACTGTACGATAGTAATCACAGAAACGCGCGAGTGTACTTGGCTCCCCGCTCCGAAGACAAGCATCCAGGTCTAGAGTGTCTACCCAGGGCCGGCTTTTGGGGCAGACGACCCGGGCGGTCGCCCTGGGAGCCATCAAAAGGGGGGCGCCGCTGTGGAAGTAGATCGCCCAAGGCGCTAGACGGCGTAGGGCTGGCCCCGGGTGTACCAAACATGCGAGCGTGCAACACGCGAGAAGTGTCGGGCCCGCTCCAACTAACCCCTTTGTCCTCCTGGATGTTCAGACCGAGGACTTCGGGCGCAGAGGCCAGCCTCAGCGCGGCAGCCCTCAGGCACTGGGCGAGGTTGGCGCTGCTCGGCAGGCCGCACTCCTCGCAGCACTCCAGCATCGCTCGGTCCAAGGAGCCCTTCAGCCGCTGGCAGTCGCTCAGCGCACCCGCTGCTCCCTGCAAGAACGCCAGACGATGCTTGGGTCTGAGGTGAAATGCCCTAGGAGCCCGGGCCTTCCCCAAACTTTTGGCGAGAGGGGGAGCTCTAGGATGGCTTTGCGGATGTCAAGCGAAAGGCTCTCTTTTTTCTTTCTTGCTTTTTACAAAAACGTCGGTTCGAGCTATGCACACGATATCCCACCGGTTTCGACCCATAGTTTCACATGCAGATCGAGGCTGGGAAACTTGTGCAAGTCGGTATACAGAGCGGAGCTCCCGCCACTCAGCTGCAACAAGAAACATGCTAACAGGCTCACATGCAAGAGTGAGCAGAACTTTCCATGCCCTGCGGCGCTGACCATATCGGCCAAGCGGGCCGTCGCGTAAACGATCGGCTCCAGGAACATCACAAAGAAGTAGAAAATGCAAAAGACGGGTATGTCGCAGCTGCTCTTCCGATTTTACCGCCACAACACCGCCAGTAAATCTTCGTAACCGCATCGGGAGGAAGGTTATAGAAGCCATTCAAATGGTGACGAGCCCATCGTCTCTCTCGCTCAGAAAGGCCTCCGGACCCCAACGGCACAACTAATGCCCTTTTATCCCTCCCCCCCCACCCAAGAACAATCCTGGCTATGGGCCTGGTCTGCAGACTGTCTTCTTTATGACGTATTAGCAGGGTGACCGCAGCTTAACTATTTCACCTTACGTCCGAGCGCCGCGGATGCTACGAGCCATCGGAGCCAATTCAAAGCCGTGTGAGTGTCACGTGACCTTGGAGAGGGGCCAGAGCAACGCGCAGAAAGTGTATCACGGGCTACGTCCACAAAGCGAGATTGCCCAGAATGGCTCGTAGCGTCCACTGCATCTGGACGTAAGATGGAATGGAGTATAGCAACAGTGCTGCCTTTAGGACAACTCAGCAGTGAAGCAGAGCAGAATCAGCACCGCAACAGCACTGTGCACCGACAAAGCATAAAGTCAGTGCTGCGTCGGCGTTAAGTCGGTGCCATTTCCGGCACTGCCTAAAAGTGCCGAGATAGGACTGGCCTTTAGTGCAATTCTGAGACAGAAGAGGGTTCTGGGTTTCCCTATCCAAGCCTGCCCGTAAATGCACGCAGGCTTGTATGGGGGGCGTTACACAGGGAACGACGATAAAGCACGCATCGTAGAAAGGAGGCAAAAATGCCACTGAGCAAGCAAAAGGTACGACTTTCGAAATGCAGTCGTTTAAAAGGCAGATGCCAGAAAGGCCATCTTTCGGATCTAGAGTCCCGCGACATGGCACCTGTGCCTGCAGCCAGGCTCGGCACCCACCTTGCAGGCCTCGTCCAGGTTGCGAAGTCCGATGTGACGCATCTCCGCTTGAGTGCGATTCTGCCACGACCGTTTCCGCTTCAACTTCTGCCAAAAGACAAACGCGGAACCACAATTAAATGCAACTGCGATAAACGTGTCACTAAGACTGTGCAAGAATCACAAGTTCCAAAAATTTTCGCATTTTCCGTTATTTCTTCTTGTTCCTTTGTGACACTAACACTGCTAACTTATGGGAATCTCTCAATTTCAAGCTTATTTAAGAGGACCAAAGGACAGTTCTCTTGCCGACCTGCCAGTTACATGGACTTTCCAGCCTTTTTAACCACCTCTAAATGCTTCAGCACCACTGCTGCCAACACTTTAGGGCTTCTGTAAATTAGATCACGCTGCATCCTGTAGCCACCCTTCAATGGTATTCCCCCGAAAGCTGCACATTTCTACAAAGGATTTTCACGTCTCCTAGGAGAAAGTGCTTCAATGGACACCCGATAAAAACTCACTTTGTCACCCGACCTCGTGCTCATGGTGACGTGAAGAAACAGCGAAGAGTTCTCGAGCGCCTTCCCTGTATCGGATGTCAGCTGAACGTGACGATAGCCTGGAAAGCAAGTGACAATAACAGAGCTGACTTAACAAATAACCCAATTAAAAATTATTCAGCCTTTCCACTCTCGTGAACAAGAAAGACCAGCAGAGCTGTACTCAATACACTGTGTGCTTCTTCTTCGTCGTCGTCTGTTTTTCGCGCTTGTTCCCTACGATGAATTCTCACCAACGTGCCCAACTATCCATTCTCCTATGATAGCTTAAAAGGTTGCCGCCATCTACGAGCGACGGCGGAAACCATACTGGTTTGGTGCTTGCCGCCGTCGCTTATAGATGGCGCTAGCTGTCCAGGTAGGTTTGTGTCGACATACACGGACACAATCCTGGGGAACCTAGCCCTGAACAGCTCCGCTGTAAAAAAATGTTTACGAAAGACTTAAAAAAAGAATGTGGAAGATGCAAGAAAAAGAAAAACATAACTTGCAACCATTCATCCCAATGCTCTTATAACAAAGTTGCACCATACTTACCCCATTCGTTTGCACATCTAATTTTGAGAAAAATATACCTTAAAACTACCTGCGCGTTAGAATCGGATATGAAACCGAAATCGGGAGCATGTTAGAAATATTATTGGAAATAAAAAGCTGGCTGCGAGTTAGCGTCGGGGACATGTCACAATCAGGTAAATATAGGTGCAGTAATAAGTCAAAACTTGTATTATGAGATAGAGATAAGAAGCACGGTAAGCCTCGGCATGCTAGATCAATCCAACAGTTCCCACGCAACAATGGAGGCTAAGTTTTTTCCATCAGTTAACCCGTGGTAGGAGCAAAATACCTATCAGTGAGTATGTTGCACCTTACACTAACCGACCAGCTAGAAACAAACCAATGAAGCAACGTCAGAGTCTTTCTGACACAAGGATGCTTTCAAGTACGGCTACTTTCCAAGCACTGTTGCGGATAGGAACAAAATTTCCAAGGTGCTTGTAAATGAAGACTCCCTAGACACGTTTACGTTTACTTCATGCATATAGATACTTTTTACCGAGAATGTGTGCTAGAATAAATGGCGTCTGCACCATCCGAATTCTACGAACTTCCACGATTGACCCCACATATGTATTGTTTCAATCTCAATTTGGATTTAGTCAAAAAGGGAGCACTCAATGCTTTCGTTTTAAAATTGTTCGTACCATTAGTGCAGATCCAGTTTGATTTACCGGTATTTTTCTAAGGTACAACTATGTTTTATTGTTATTGCCTCGTTTGTCACATTATGCTACATTATATTGTGTGGTTGTAGCCGCCTTAGCCTCCGTGTAAGCGGCTAACAAATTAGGTAATAAATGAAAAAAAATTTGCCTTCAGAACTTTCTTGTACAACTCAAGGAATGCTCCCCAGTTAAACAAACCAAACAGATACATGTTTCTAAGTCCCACTGCTTAAATTATGAAAATTGCCGCGCACCTGTCTTCAGACTGGAAACAGGAACCGAGTGCTGGCCGATGAAGTCGTCGCCGATGAACTCGTCGTCCAGGACGGCAAATCGAAGAATGGCCAACTCGGGGGCTGCCACCGTGAACTCGAAGCTCTCGTCGAAGATTGGCGAGTGTCCTGGGTACGGCGTGTTTGGAACAGAAATCCAGAGGTCCGTTTAAGGACACGCTTGGGCAGGACAGGAGTAAAGAGCCGCTCTACCCTTCAGCTAGTGCTTTCAGCCAAGGCCTGAGCTTCATGATAAGGTACCTCTGCGGTCCCCGACAGCTTTAGACTGATAGAAAGGAAAGTTCCACTGTCCACATTAAGCAGACACAAACAAGCTGGACACCACAAAAGGCCTCCAGCAGGAGGTGGAAAAAAAATAAAGTTGCCGGTGGCCATGGATACAATGAAACCTAAAAAGGGTCACCAACGAGTCTACAGACAATTGAAAGGCCGGAGAAAATTTCCTGTTACGAGAAATGAACATTTCAAAGAATTAAGTTGTCCCCACTTATAAAAAAAACTTTCTTCTAAAAAAACTTTCAGCCTTTCCACTCTAGTGAAGAAGGAAGACCAGCAAAGCTACACTATGGCGGGACGACCTCAAGGACGACTTCTTGGATGACCTCGAGAACGACACCTGTTACGACCATGGGGATGACGTCTAGACGACCTCAAGGACGACCCCAAGGACGACCCCAAGGACAACGTCTAGGACGATGTCTAGGACGACCTAAAGGGCGACTTCTAAAACGACCTTGAGGACGACGCCTAGGACGACCTCAGGGATGACCTCAAGGACGACGCCTAGTATGACCACGGGGATGACGTCCAGGACGACCTTAAGGATGACATCTAGATGACCTCAAGGACAACCTCAAGGGTGACTTCTAGGACGACCTCGAGGACAACCTCTCAAACGACCTCAAGGATGACTTCTAAAACGACGCCTAGAGAAATTCTGCCTTTCCACTCTGGTCAAAAACCAGAGCGGAAGGGCTGGAAATGTTGCCACCATATTTGAGCAACAGTGGCAACCAGACAACCGGCAAGCCTGGTTGCCGTGCCGCCGTTGCTCATAGATGGTGGTAGCTGTCCAGAATTCTGTGTTGACAGTTATCTTGTGACCAACACAAAACTGGGGAAACTAGCCCTCAGCTCCGCTGTAAAATATTGTTGCCATTAATGTCACCAATGTTACAAATAGGACCACATTTGCTACACACAGCGAAGCTCGTACAAGCTTTGACAGCGTCCCATGAGTCACCGTTACGATAATGGCACACTTTATCAGAAGGGGCAGAGAGCCCGCATCCTATAATCCAAACAAATAAGACAGCTTTACGTCCTCATCCTTTAAAGGTCCGCTGGCCATAGGATTCTACATATTCTTTATACAAGGCTAAAGAAGACACAAGAAGGAAGGGAAGATCGACACACCGACGTTTAAACCAGCAACAATGAAATGATTGATTACCACCAGAATTCGACAGATCTAACTTGCAAGTCAATCTTACATCCTTCTGCATGTTGTATTCTTCCATCCTCTAATAGCATCGCCGATACATTCCCCTTGTCCGTACACTCTTCGACATTTCATTGCAACTCCCCCGCCGATCCGTGGCATACATAAACTAATGTCTGCACTTGTAATGCACACAACCTAGGCAGAGTGTAACCTTGCCTTCGTTAGACACCGTCTTTGTCCTGGCTTCGGCGCAGTCGGTCGGAATCCCATAGATCTGCACAGTCACGTAAGGGTCTATGGCGGTAGCCTTGCTCGAAGCACCCCGCGGCAAAGGTAGCTGCTGCCCACTGATGATCTGCAAAAAAAAACAAGATGCAATAATTAAAAAAAAAAAAAAATTGCAGCAACATTTTATCTATTAAGTTCCACAATGCATGAAATGCAGTATTAACGATTAGTCACATAAATTTGTTTCTAGACATTAGACAGTCGTTTCAGGTAGTGAACAAGAGCCTACATTTTTACCAACTTAGCGAAGAGACTGACTCGGACGTAGGTCACGTGATGTCGATTTCCCCTCCAAATTTAGCGAGGAAACTGAATTGTTGATTAGGTCACGGGGCGTTAATCTTCCTGCTAAATTTAGCGGGAAATGCGTGGACAGATGGACAAATGAACGGATGGGAAAAATTTGGGGATTGGGGGGTTTCATCAAGAAGCATCTCATGCTTTAAAAAATGCCGAGGACGACGTAAGACCCAGCCCTGTCTGTCGTTAATACTAGATCTTACAATGCAATTGCCGCCATTTCGTGAACTGAGATCACACGCCCCCTTCTCTGCAAAGCACCGACCAAAAGAGCCAATCATTGCGATCTACGGAAGAAGCTGAGCGGAGAGGTTTGTCCACTCAATGAAGTTGGAATTACCATCATGCCTCAAAAATTTAATGAGGGATAAACTCTAATAAATGTCTCATTCGAGATAAAACATAAACGCTAAAGGTCCCCTCCGAATCTCACTGAAAATAAACAAATTAAACTACAAACACCCAAAACCCATCTTGTACACATTTGCAATCACAAACCCTGGACGCTATTGCCTTGCTTCTGGTACGTGCCAGTTGTATGATAGTCAAGCCTCGCTAAATGTGCACCCACGGTTACCAGACTGCAGCTCCAAGAAAGCAATTTTAAAGCGATAGCATTAAGGAGTTTGTGTCGCAGAAAAGCCGGCACATGCATTGTGACAGAAAAATCCTGATCGTTCAATAGGGTCACAACTTCACAGCCACATGACTTTGCGCGGGAATATCAAACAACCCACAACACTCACGTGGAATGTGACTTCACGCGTCGAATGAAAGCGATTAAAACGTAACATGTAATGTGAATTAAAAGTTGCCGCATGTCTCAAATGATTTGACTCTTGCCTTAAAGAAAACATGTGAAGAATTTTAGGCGGCGGCAGGATTCTAACCCACGACCCTTCGATTGCGAGCCAGACATGCTACCGCCTAGGCCACGCAGACACGCTGCACGGCTTGGAATCAAGCGGGGGTCTATATGTTTAACTAGCGCGTTCCACTCTTAAAGGCGAAGCTTAAGCGCCCTCCCGTAATTTTTTAACAATGGTGGCAAGACCAACTTTTGTAGCATGGCCGCTTGCAAACTTGTACACTTCGTGACACTGTTGGCACAAACAAGTTAACACTGGTTTTCTCTTTTTTTTTTTTTTTTCCCCTCAACATTGAAGGACAATCTTCAAAACTAAAACCAGAGTGGTGCAAAGCACCCAGTTGAGGTATTAACCTTAGTGGCACATTTTGATGCCCGCCGTACCCTTTCAAAGAAAAATGCAAAAAAATGCCAGAGTTGCCTTTGTGCTGACAGTGTTGTACAGTGTGCACCTTACACCCAGAAGGAAGGTGAAAGAAAGCCTTTCCGAAGCATACCTTAACTCGCAGGTAGAGGGGCTCGGTGTCGGAAAACGTCTCCCGGCGATAGGCGTTGAAGACCGACCACGGCTGGCGCAGGCAGGCCGGCTTGAGCACGTAGCCACAGCCACCATTCTGCTGGAACCAGCCGCGGTGAAGGTCCATCGAGACGCCCGACGTCTGGAGGTTCATAGCCGCTGCACGCACGCAATCATTGCCAATCGTTAGCATGGCTCTTCTCTATCGAACGAATGCTCAACAGATTCCCAGGCTCACAAACGGTTCCAAAGGAATGCTGGATCCTGGGCCAGCCTGCTAAAAACCGCATTTCATACTCCGTTCTTCGTCGGCAAAACATATCGGGTAAAGAAAAAAGTGTGGGATTGCGGTGCATCTACTGCACGACGACAAACATTGTGACAACACGCTTTTGCCGCTGCTTGACTGGCTTCGTCTGATCGTAGCGTTGGCTGCGGGCAGACTTAATGTGAAACCGAGCATAGCCAAAACTCTGCGAGAAAAGGCACCGTGACTTGTTTTCTTACATGTGAGCCCCAACAAAAGCCGATTTTTTTGTTCAAAACTAAAACTCTGACACAGGAAAACACAATAAAATAAACCAGTTTGAAAAAAGAATCAACCCCGAAAACATGGAACCCTAGTTACAAACGTCGAGGATCCGTTCTGAGCAGCATTTGGTGGAAGTAAAGGCCTGTTCGCACGTATGGCACAGCACTAACCCAGCACTATACACCTTTCTATAAAGGTGTATGAGGGCACATCCATTGCTGTGTTTGTGCGTTATGCATGCTCATTTTCTGGCTGGCCAAAATTGCGAGCAAGCGCTGGCTGGACTATAATTTTTGTAAACAGTGGAAATGTGCATCTTTGCACTACAGTAGCACTGTGTCAGTTCTGCACTGCACGAATCTCCACCTTTTCACCGTTCACACACCCTCGCGGCCGCGTTCCGCAATAGTACTGCCGCAGCTAGCGGGAGGCGACGGACGCAGACGCACCCATCTGGATTCCGCAGGCCCACAGGTCGAGGGGATTGTAGTTGCTGGAGTCGACACGGCTGGCGTTGGGCGAGACGTGGGCCAGGAAGCGGCGTGCGTGGCTGGCCACCTCGTCCGCCAGCGCATGCCCCAGCTTCAGGGCCGAGGTCTCGCTGAAGCTGCACACCTCGTGCTCCGCTTCTGCACGCGGAAGCGCCCCCGACGCCGCTTTAGAGCGACTGCCCCACCGGAGGGAGGAGCTTTGGGAAACGGAGACTGGGTTATTTTCGTACCCCCTCTCTGTCTTGTGTTTGTCTCTTTATTATAGGGTAATAGTTAAGATTGGTATGAAGAGTATATGGACATAGTGAGGCAAAACTGAGGTACACTTATATTGCACTAGCACAGGCACTTCAGATGCTCATATAGTAAAAATACTATGACAATAGCAAATATTTTTCCTGAAAAAACTGACCTGACTCATGAGTTTCCAGCATTATCAGCACCAAACAATAAACTACTTTCCTTTTTTTTTAATTCCTGTTGAATCAGCACATAGATTTGACATGACATGTGGACTCTTTACACAGAGACCCGTTGCTTGTCAAACAGACAAAGCTTTTGCACAATTATTCGAGAGCCTCAGATTCAGGAGAGTTAGGTATGTGAGTGGGAAAGTTAGTGCACATAATAAATGATTGATTAGCTCAACCGAAAATCAGTCCAATGTGAAACAAATAATCAAATGAATCGAGTATAAAAATATACGAAAGCTTGCACTTGCCTCAAAAAGATATTGAACTTGATGCAATAACAACAATTAATAACATTTTATGCAACTTTTATTTTTATTTTTAGAATGAATTTGTTCTTAACGGGCTCTGAAATGCCAGAGCAAGTTTTGAGTTTAGACCATGTTCTGTTCAGTCTCAACCAAATTCTAATCTTATATAGACCGCCAATTTAGTCAGTGCTGACACCACCAACAAACTAGTACTCACGAGATTGATGCGCGGTTCCAAAATCTGTGAAAGAAATTCTGGACAGGCTGACCAGGTTGGACAAAGACTTGCACAGCTTGAGTTTCTTGGTGGACTCCTGCAACATTTAATGGCAGGGCATGCTACCTTCAGAGTTTCTCTCAAACCATCGAAGAGAAAAATCTAGAACAAGACTCACGGAAGAGCCGCTGTTGCTGTCCACAAAGTCATCCTCCTCCGACACCTCGGCATCATCCGAGTCTTCCGGAAGCTTCTTGCTCTGAAAACAAACTGGCGTATCAAAGCGCAAGAAAATGCCCGCCGTAAAATACCGAGCGTCCGCCCATTCCACAGTAAGCGCCCACCTCTCATCTTTGTAACATTCAGAAAATATGCAAAAGACACGTATTTACACATTGATTGACCTAAGAAGTGCTCATCCCCCAGTTTTACGTTAACGGTAATTTAATTCCCTTTTGTTAAAACCTGGCCCTAGATGTCCGTTTACAGTCTAATTCAAACGTTAGATGCAACTTTTAGAAATGTTAGGCAAGGAAAGGGTATTGGGCGGATCGCACAAACACTACGCACGGAGAAATAGCATCCGCCGAGAACAAAAGGCATCAATTCCTCGCCGAAAACTTTAGAAAAAAGCTGCCAACTGTTTACTCACACGACGACAACATGTGATACTTGCTGGTATCTCATCCCGAACCGAACCGTCTGCAATTTGTAGCTTATTTACGAAATTCCGAAAATCGCAGGGGAACTTTTCTCGGGACCCTTTAGCACAATGACAAGGTGCCGTACCTTGATGAGCACTTTTCTCTTGAGAGACTGTGGAGACAGCTTCGTGGAAAAGTTGCCGCCGTCCCGGCCCGGCACGTAGAGGAGGTCGCCGAGCCTCTCCTCCAAGAGAGCGGCAACCTCGTGCTGGTTCTCGAGCGAACAGTGGTTCTCGAGGTGGAGGATCAGAGGATACCTGCCGAGAGAATGCGGCGTCGTCCCACTTCAGACGGAGCTGTTCTTCCCGATGTCTTGAATTAATGGCGTCAGCAAACACGGTCCTCGCACCTTCACATGAAGCAACTGCTGAAACTCAAATTGGTGTCTTTCACAGTCCCGATCAATAAGGGGAGACTGCTTTTTGAGGCTAAGAAACTACTTAAGGGGGGACACTTCCCGGAGAAAAAAAGATTCTTCAAAAAACATTGATTTTGAAAAATTACATATTTAAATCCATCTACATCCAGAAAGTATTCCCAGAAATTTTCACTAGTTTACACTGCATAGTTAATTTTTTATAAATTATTTTCTGTCCACCAAAACTAAAGGAAAGGCAGGGTTTAGAGCACTTTGAACACATTTTTCTCCGTTCCACTTTTTTGCACAAATTCCATTTTAGTCAATCTATCGTTTGAGAATGAAAATACAGGCAAGGCTCGTTCTTCACTTTTCCTGACTGAAATTTAATAAGGAATGCGCCTATGGAGTTTGTTTGTCGCTTTACGGATGTCTTTTATAAAATATGTTGACATTTTGTCGGAGACACAGAAGACCAAAAAGTTGACCAATTTCGCAGAAGGGAAAATTGATAGAAATCAATTACTTTTTACAAAAACCTTTCCATAGGCGCATCTCCTAGGCATTCTGCTACATATCTAGCGTATAACAATCTTGAATATTGTGATAGTTTTCTGACGATAGATTAACTAAACAGTGTAGGGGTGTTGCTGATAGAGCCTGCCTTAATTTCCTTCCCACTTAACCGACAGACCTAAAATTTTGTTATGCACCCTCTAGCATGACCACCAGCCTACCCTGCAAATTTCATTAATTTTAAGACAAGGGTTCAAAAGTTTACCCTCCCAGGGGGTGTCTCCCCTTAAGGAAAGCACATTCTGTTCTGAACTATTTTCGTAAAACAGCTTTCTTTTATCTTGAAATATAGACCTTAGAACGGGGGTTCTCAAACTGGGTTCCGGGGAACAGAGGGGTTCCACGAGCTGGCCTCATGGGTTCCGCGAATACCCAAATTGCACCCCCCCCCCTTGCCGCAGGCTGCACGGCAGGACCATGCAAAGCACCTTCATCTCACATTGTACTGACATTGCGATTGACATGGTGGGGATATATGGGAAGCACCACAAGCAAAATTGCCTACAATTGTGCATCTGTTGCTTCTCAGTCGGCAAATATGGAGGGGGGGGGGGGGGGTTCCGCGGCAGTTTTTGAGGCTTCCTGGGGTTCCGTGAGGCCAAAAAGTTTGATAATCCCTGCCTTAGAACATAGTAAAATGGATTTGTGCTTGATTTATGTTGTTATTCCCAACACTTTGGAATTTTATGGAAGTCATATCTCCACTTGTGTAACCCAATCTTTTTTCATTTTTTCTTTCTGTGGTAGGTATATGTGTGAGGTATGCAAGAAGGTATAACTATGTTAAATATAACACCAGACATTTCTCAGATGCCTTCTATACTTTCTGCAATAAATAAGTTTGATACGGGGAAATTCAAAAGTGTCATAAAAACACTATGCATCATCCTAGAGCTTTCATTTATACCTTACTGGATTCTACAGACATTTCAGTTTGCCGAGATAAGTTAATTTTATTTTAATATTTCAGTTTGTCTTGACCATTCTCATAACATTTGAAAAAGAAATTTTCAATATAAAGGAAACTAATTAGACTATACCAAAACCAAGTACATAATTGTAGTCAGATTGTAAAGACATATGAGCTATGTAAATTTAACTTGAATTGGATCACAAGCTATGTAAAAAAAGCTCTAGAAGCAGTGTTGCCCCTTAAAATTGCAATTTTCTCGCACCACTCAGACACAAAGTATTAAAACAAAACTGTCTGCATAGTGCAACAGAAACACTTTGCGTCCCAATCACAAGAATAATCCCCTGCAAACCAAAACCCAAGTAAACTCCACGCCCAATTATCATTTTTGGCACGCCGAGATTCAAGACTCCAATGTCGCATGATTCTTTTGGCGTCGACAGTTAGAACAGCGCGAAATAGACGGGACACCTTTTGAATTTCGTCGATTGATCGCCAACTATAGTCGGTTGCAACCTAAGAACGAAGGGCGAGGGTAAGACAAGCCGGGGAGGAGGAAGCAGACGGAACGCTAAAGAGAGAAGGAGGTTTACTCTCTTTTCTCTAGCGTTCCGTCTGCTTCCTCCTCCCCAGCCCGTCTTACCCTCGCCCTTCGTTCTTAGGTTGCAACGGACTATAGTCTGACGCTCCAGCATTTTACGGTGTTTTGGTGTCAGACGAAACGGGACGCCAAACTAAGACAATGCCGAGGAGGCACTCACTCCGAAGCGGCGAAGGCGAATTCCCGGATGGTGTCCAGAACGTCGGCCAGCGGGACTTTTCCGGTCAGCGTGTTTCCGTGAAACACCACCGGTCCGCTCGTGCCGTTCCAGCAGTCCACTGGAAACGACGTTTGAAAACGGAAGGAAACTTGCAGTTCCGTACTGTTGCATCGTTGTACAAGTGGCACCCCCAATGAACACCCGTTCCAAAAAAAAATATTGGTATACAGGTCACACTTCTACATTTGTATGGTCGGCACGACAAAACTGCATCAATAAGCCTGCATATCTCTGGTGTGACGGCGGTGTGCGCACGAGTGTGAGCCAGTTTTAATAATTTAGCTGATGAGGTGGAGGAATACAACACCAGCAACAAATTTGTGCATTTGAGATCCATACTCACAAAAAATAGACGGTTTCAGTATACAGTGTGCTAAGTCTTTGTGTACGATCCACTAAAACTGTCTGCTGTATTTACTCGAACAATGAACGCACCCCCGACAAAACGGGTACCGATATTTGGACTTTTTGTTTTCCCTTGCGTAATGAACGCATCTCCAATTTTCAGCTCCACAAGTCTCAAATCGTGTCCAACTTTAACTAGCCACCAAACCCACCAAGTCAAGCCAAGCCAAGCCGCTCTCGTAATGGCTGCAAATGCATAGTTGCGGAAGTGATCAACCGTGAAACCGAGCGGCGCGCGCACTTGACGAAGCTTGGGTCGAGGAATTGCCCAGCCTCGCACGTTCTTTGCCTATCGGATGCACTGATGTCAACCAACATGCCGTCGTCTGTGGTCCGCTTCAGGACAGCAAAATCGTGAAAGTGGATAGGCCTACGAATAGTCACATTGCTCTCCTTGCTGAGTGAGCTTCGTAGGGCGCTTTTCTTTCGGCAAAAGGCACTGCGCCCTAAAAAGGTTCGCGATTTATAAAGAATGGTTACTGTGCCACGCCCACGATTAGCTGTAGATGCACCTCTGTCGGTGGAGACGTGCCACGGTACCTTGCCGTGTCATATTAGAACCTAATATGACATTTGCAAGGTCTGTAAATGCAAAAATTTTACCGCACGTAATGAACGCAACCTCCAAATGTCTGACAATTTTTCAGGGAAAAAAGTTTGTTCATTACGTGGGTGAATAGGGTAATAAGGCATATAAGTCGCAACGACGGGAATTTTGTTAAAAAGAAACGTGACTTATGTGCAAAAAACTAGGGTATGTGGACGTGATTTATCGTACAGCTGGCACACATTGCCATGAGACATCCAAGAGGAGAGTATTCGACTGGTCGACAAACATAACGAAGGAATTGCAGTGCGACCTCATACTCTCTGTATGGCAACTAATGAACTCAAGCTTTACCAGCAACTCGAGGTCAAGGTAAAAACAAAGGAGCACTTACCTTTGACTACACGGCATCCTTGACTGAGCGCATGGGCATAACCTTCCACGCTCGATGGCCCCTTCAGCTGATCCTCCATTAAGTATCTGAAATGATGGAATCAACTCGCTTCATTAAAGGCACTAACATTCCCCAGATATGCTTCACATATATGAATTTATATTATAGATAAAACGTAAAGACTGCCATATTTAATGCTTTTATAACAAAAAATTGTCTTATAGACTACTACCGTGTCATACTACCAGTAATTTCAACAAATAATCACATCTAGACATTTGCACATACAGTATCCGAAATTTCGAATTGCAATGCACTGTCGGTGTTCAAATTATGTGAATTTTCTAAGAACAGTTTAAACAAAGATGGAATGTCTCGATTTTAACATCGAAGAAAGCAATCGTACGACGAAGGAACATTGCAAGAAATAAAAAGCTTTTCCTAATAACCTTTTTTTTTTTTTCTCCCATCTTCTGCATTCGACAGAAGGTGAAAAAACAACCTTGACAGGTGCAACCAAATTTGTGATGTCTTTATGTGTTCCATTCCTAACCTAGCCAGGCTAATCTTTCTCTGGAACCTAGACCACCTGCAGTTCTGGCTTGAAAAAGCTAAATTGGATTAGATAGGATTATGAATTGGATTTTCTCGCCCGGCGAAATTGAATCCAATCCGAAACAGGAATGGATTGGATTACCGTACCACGTGGAATCCGATCCAATCCAAAAGGGGATTGGATTGACTTATGACATCGGACAATCGAGAAAGCGACTACTGTCGGCAAGCTGCGGGACTCACGTGTTGTGCGAGGTGGAGATGAAGTACTGGCAGAGTGGGTACTCCATGTTCTGGAAGACGCCCCTGTGCGCTTGGTCCATTAGGTCACACTCGTCGGACAGTAGGAACAATGTGAATCCTGCAGAATGGTGCAAAACATTAGTCAAACATCACAAACAGAAACAATGATTGCTTTCAGACAGCCACACCACGTGAAGTCTGACAACAACCGAGCGTGTTTCGTTTCTGCTTCAAACATGTCAACGCCAGCTGAACTCGCACCACAAACAGAAACAGTGACTGCCTTCAGAGAGCCATACCGCATGAAGTCTGACAACAACCGAGCGTGTTTAGTTTCCGCTTCAAACATGTCAACGCCAGCTGAACCCATCCACAGTATGCCCTTGACGCCACAAAGGTAAGTTGTACAGATAACACTAAAAAGTTACCTCCTTGATTATGCAAAACAGCTTGAATGCCACAAACAAACATTTTACTTCTCAATAAAATCCACTGAATATGCTCATTCCATATTTATTCCAAAAAGTTATTTTCTCGGAACTCGGACTGAGGTTCTGGTTCACTGGGCCAATCCTCATTGCTGGCTTCATTCCCTTACGAGCACAGCAGTTACCTTATCAAGCATCACTAAGCACAAGGTTGAGAGTTAAGGTGCTACTTTGTGAACGTCCATATACTCCAGACGAGAACGTCCCGTAGAGAATAATGTTCTCGTTCAGACAAGCACAACTCACCGTCTAGGAGCATCTGCCCATTTCTCTGAGCCTCTTCCGAAGGCTCGTAACGCTTGATCAGGTCCAAGCAATCCTCCACACCAACGTTTTCAAACTAGAAAAAAAAAAAAAAAAAGAGGCTTTATTATAGAAAACAAACTCCAAACACTGCCTTTCTTCAATTTTTCTTTTTCCGAACAGGTTACTTTCAATATTTTTATGTAGCAAGAGAATTTTTTTTACTACTAGGGTCTGTACCATATTTTTATAGTCTTTAATATTCCCAGACTTTTCCAGGTTGATTAAAACTAAAATTCCTCAAGAGTTCCAAGCTTTTTTGTTTGTTTTTGTCTGACTATCCCTCGGGGTAATGACACTGCACTTCCTTTTCAGACGTAAAGAGTACAACATCAAGAAAGCAGCCAATTGAAAAGTTTATTGAAAAAATAACTTTGTAAAAACAGTTACCACTTCCACCAAAAGAAACTGAAACTAAAACCTACCTCTTGCTCTCCTTCCAGAAAAAATTGGAGGTCTTCCACAGTCAGGTAGTCCTTCCCAGAGTACCTGAACAAATGAACAGCCTGTCATTAAGCGATATTCCAATCCAACTAAACAAGTGCATGTGGAGATCACATTTCTTTAAAGTGGATCAGAGGCTATGGGCAAAACAGATCATCACAATGTGATTTATGTGCTTTATGCAGTGCAGACAACTGTGCAGACAACTAGCCATGGTTGCAACAAACATCATGTATGAAAGTATGAAAGTTTAAATGCTAAACCAACAAAAGGCATCTTCCATGCATGAACAAAGAACTGAGGATTCGTTTAGATCATCTGGGATCTTTTGAAAGCGCAGCCATAGTTTTGTTTACACGACGCCCCCACCGGAATAAACAGGCAAGATGCAACTGAGCGGACTACCCGGGAGTGACAAGTCAAGCGTGAAAGAGGAAAATGGCACAGGGAGGGCACCGACCTGACCATGAGGAAGTAGACTTCCGGCCTGGTCGCCAGTTCCTTGAAGAGACTCACGAACTGAGACCGGTCTATCCTCCCTCGGTCCTGCTCCGTCTTGCCCATGTCGAATTCCTGCCAACGTCGTCCGCAATGTTACAGACGTGGCTCTAGTACACACTACAGCAACGCCACCTGGATGACAAAGCCACAGTGTCGAATTTTCTGCCTCCTAAAGAGGCAAATGTGGTGGCAGGGATTCGATGCGCGTGCTTGGTAAGTGCTCGGATGAGACTCGAGTTTTCCCAGGTTGAAGACAAGTCTAGACCAGATGCCGACGCACGTCTTAAGTCTAATCTGCGTCCCCCGTTTGCCTCGTTAGGCGACGCCGAAAATTCAGCACGATGGCCTTTTAAACTACGAGTCGGTGGCTATCGACATTGACAAGATGAGAGCAGCAGGGAGGTCCATCGGCTGTGTCGCCTCCAGCACGCAGACGCAGCAAAGCACTGCAGAAGGAAATGAGCATATACCAAAGGCAGGGCCATTCGAAGGAAATGTCCTGCCTTTCTCATTCTGTCGGTGACTGTGCGAAGTGCAAGTTCTTCTGCTTCTTGTGCAGGGGTTGCAGTGACGTCAGAATGCCGAGCTCTGATTGGCTACGACTGAAAGAACAGTGGGCAGACCTCAAGGCAGCTAGCATTGAGGAGTCCGCTTGTTATCTTTCCAATCTGAGCCAATCGGCACTTGGCATACTGACGTCGCTGCAACCCCTGCAGAAGAAGCCAACAAAATTGTGCTCTGTGTAGCAGCTGTCTGTTGCATGCCAAACAGCCTCTAGGTTAGCACCAATACCTGCAGAAGTTAGCAGAGTTCAGAAGCAGCCTCATAAGCTTTGCAATGATGACTAACGCACAATAAGCTGTGCAAGTCGCAAAAAGTAGATTTGTCACATAAATCGCTCCGGTGGCTGAGGCAGATAGCTTGCTGTGAAAACAAAAAAAAGTGTTCTGTGTTCGCCGTTTAAAATGTTCACGCTTTCCTAGAGGACTCATGATTAAAATTCACATTAAAATTACCTAGTAGTCAAGCTTCTGTTAACTGATAGTCTTACTCATACACTTAACATTCCCTCCTTGACCATTTTCCAAAACTGTACCGTTCCCAGCACAGCTCTCAGCCAAGAGCCACAGTACCATCCATATAAAAATACACTAATAAGTAAATATTAAAACATGTAATTGCAAATGAGGAGCTCAACAGGACTGTCCTGCACGCACTTGCAACCAGTCCAACAAGGTGTCGCTCGTTTATCTGCTGTTCAAAATCTGTGCATCGTTATGCAGTTATTTAACAACTGAGAACACAAAATAAAAAGGAGACTTCAGTTTACATTCATACTTAATCGTTTTACCCTTTATTTTCTCATTTTCGTGCACTTGCAAGACATGAAACAAGTTCCTGTGAGATAATGAATGTTAAGTTCACAGCTGCCCAGTATACCAGAGTTCCGAAGTTGTACCAACGCAGTCCACGAGTATAATGCTCCTGCACCGACACATACACAACAACAATAAACGAGTGTGCACCGATTACCATAATCTTCTGCTTGAGTCGCACCGTGCTCAGCTGTCTGTTGAGCTTCTGCACCAATGCGATGGTCTCCACTTCGTCGAGAAGACCCTTGCGCTCAGTGTCGGCCTTTTCAAACATCTCCTGCAGCCATCTTGAATGAAGCGAGTCAAGGGTTCCACACTACAATGTGCCTTTACTCTAAATGACTGTTCCTACCGGACGAACCGGACACAGGCGAATCGCCGACTTCTTGGGGAAACTTGCAAACTGACGAGTTTGTTTCATGCGTTGTAAAGTCTTGGGCACCCCTCAAGAATAGATGACCACCGGCTCGCTTGTGTTTCAGGTGTAATTTAAGATTTTCAACACTGAGACTTTTCAGGCGGATTGAAGCTTCGGCCTATCTGAGACTTTAACTGGTCCGAGGCTTCTGTTGGGGTTACGACCCTGGTCAGTGCGAGACTTTGGCAAATCTGAGGTTTCAGTTAAATAGAGACGTGGGCCTCAGAAAACCCGAAATCCCAAATTTCACCTTATTTACTTGCTATAAAATGACAGAAAATTTACAACTCAACACATTTATAATGATGAATGCTATGCGTTCATGTACCTACCTCAAAACGAATTGTGCCCAATGTGCCAAGTCAAAAAGCAGAATCTACCTAATATACTCCACGAGTAATTTTAAAGCAACTTAGGTAGTTCTCCAATCAACTGAAATAAGATGAACTTATAAGTATGCATACCTGTATTTCTCACTCAATTAGATTCTAACTCGAGAAAACCTAGCTTAATGACCTTCAAAGAACAACTTTCACTGCTCCGGTTAGTACCAATTCACCCTCAACCAGTTGAAAACTAGATTAATTTGTAAACATGAGCACATAACCGCATTTCTAACTCGATTCGATTCCTGCTCAAGTAAATCTAACTTAACAACCTTCAAAGAGCAACTTTCACCGCTCCGGTTAGTACCGATTCCTCTTTAACTAGCCAAAAACCACACGGTCTACATCCTCGCGAAAACCACAAAAAACCAAGTGTCCTAATCTTCCTTGTCGCAAGCAACAAATACCGCCGCCGTCAAAATCGACCGAGATAACCGTGCAATCACGACGATGAGCCCCCAGATAAACACGAGGGGGAAGGAGGAGTGTCCAAACCCCCCCCCACCCGGCCATAAAGGCTTCACGTCCTGCTACGATTCCGGGGCGGCACGTGTAAGTTGCATGAAGGAAGGGTGTGAATGTGACGCACGACCGCCCCCCCTCCGCCCAATCAGGAGCCGGCGGGGGTGCCGTGCCCGCTTTTAGAATTGGCCGGGGAGCAAATTGCACCGCCATAATTGCGACCCTTCCCCCCCCCCTGCCCGCCACGCAACCTCTGCAAGGAGGCAGACGCGACGGAAAGCGGGCAACCGTAAAAAAAGAAAGAAAAAACCACTCTGTTGGCATTATATTGCTAAGGATACTTTTCTCTCATCCTCTGCCGCTCGTCCATGTTGTCGGGAGCTGCAAGAAACGGCAACATCGGGACAAGTCAGCGACAATGTGCGCGGAAAAAAAATTCACACCTTTATTGGCGCGGACGAGAGGGCGGCCAACCCCCTACTGTGTCTATTTTGAAACACGGGTGTTACATTCTTAATATACAGGGTTTTTGTTTTTTAAGTCATTACAAATTCGTTTAAAAAAAACACATAAAAGCGACACTAATCCGGCATGTACAGGTGAGTTATACAGCCAGGAGGATACAATATAGCGGGTTAATTGTTACGATAAGTAGGATAATTAACTAATGTCAGTTAATGAACCTTTCAATTAGCGAAAAACCATGAGTGGTCCAAATTAAAAACTTGCCAAGCACTGTCAAAAGGCACTAAATCAGTAAACCTTATAAAGATTTTGAGCACTAAAGTTACCACTATTGCAACAGGTGCAAGGCTGAAAATGCAAAAACAATGATGATAACACCATTGAGTTATCACCACGTTTTCACACCTCCAGCCTTGCACCTGTTGCGAGAGGATAAACTTTAGCGCACAACCACACTGTTCACACACTTTGAATCTTTCCGCAATTTGCTGATTTGTTGGTTTTCGATGATGGCTGCACAGCAAGTTTCTAATTGGAAGAATTTGTTTAATTTCACTAATTAAAGAGTTATTTACCAGATTTTAGTTAATTATTTGGCTTATTGTGGCTATCAGCCCCTTAGTTTATGTCTCCCTGGCAGTATAACTCACCCACACAAACCGCATTAGTGTACCTTCCACTGTCTTGTTAAAAAAAAATATGTAAAGCTTAAAAAAAGCATCACGTTTTGTGTCTATATTTTCTAAGTTTACAACTGAATTATCGGTATGCTAATTCTCTACAACCCTGATTTCCGAGATGCTGAGTCTGATGAGTCTGAGGCCTTGCCAGATATGGAAGATGACCATAAACCATTGCTTGTTTTGTGATTGTCCCCAGTTTATATTGCAGACTCAGGCTCAAGGTGATAAGCATCCCTAGCTTGTCTTAGTACCCATTATTGCCTCCCTCTGAATTTCTTCACCATCAGCAGTTGACGTTTTGCCACAAAACATTGATTTGATGCGCCCACGGAGGTTTCAAATCAACAAATGTACTATAGTCATGTCTCGTTACCATGAACCCTGTTAACAGTCCAGAGTTTGGTAAACCTAGAGGCAATCATTTTTCCTTTCCCAAGTAGCACCCATCACATTAAATATATATTGGTTAGAATGTTTAGAAACTATTTATATAAATGTCAAAGACTGTTATGTCACATCACTTTCATTGTTGCAGCTACGACTTCATTCACTTCATTGTGTGCAGAAAACTCCCTTCCGTGCAACCTAAAAAAATATCTCATCTTGACGAGTAGAAGTAGTTTCTTTTCAATGCATGCTTCTTTCATTTTATAGTTCCAGAACTGGAACTCCATTCTTATTAGTGGTGCCTACCCCATTGTACCTTCAAATGATGCTCTCCAAAATGTGCATCATAAACAGAAAGAAATGTGCAGGAACAGCTGCAAATATTTGAAAGTATGCAAGCATCTAAAACATGCTACCGTAAAATGTTGTCGATAAAATTTTACCTTTGTTTTGAGTCCTTTGTGTTTGATGGGAATTTAGTTCACCGATAATGGCGGTCTTTAGCGTTTGTGATAGGTAACTCGCTAAAATATGCCAGTGTTTGGAAAGTAAAGAAACACAGGAAAAGCATTCGTGGATACTTTCCCATAAATAAACTCCGGAAAATCTGCAGCCTTCACATATTGCACAAACCAAGATTGTGGTGTGCCCTCCCACCCCCTGTAAAAGATTTGATTGTATTCAAAATCTCATCCCCATTAACTTAAACTTAAACCAAGGTCTTTGCCTGCACACAGATAACAACGCTAACTATGTATCTTCACCTACAGAAGTTGCCAATATTTTTGCTGATTACTTCAGCAGTTGTTATTCAACCTGTCCGCAAAGCACTCAGTCGCAAGAAATAAAAACCAACTGCCATGATTTCTTGTCTGGTATTAGAGTAGATGCCGTTGAAATTGCGGAAGCAATAAAAAAATTAAAACCGAAGCTATCTATAGGAGCTGACTCTATTCCATCCTTTATTATTAAGGAATGTAGTGAATTATTTAAACCTATTTTGTTGCACATCTTCAACCTCTCTCTCTTATTTCTGGTGTTTTTCCCTCCCTTTGGAAAAAAGCAGTTGTTGTACCAGTTTTGAAAAAAGGTGACAGCTCTGTGAAAAGCAACTACCGCCCAATATCTTTGCTATCTGGACTTTCTAAAGTTTTTGAACGGCTTATGTATTCCCGGATTCTTTTTTATTTTCGGCATAAGTTTGTAGAGTGTCAGCATGGTTTCTTGAAGGGACGTTCGGTTGAAACAAATCTTTGCTCTATTTTAAATTACTCTGCCCCTATTGTTACAAACAGAGGACAAGTTGATTGTATCTTTTTTGACATGCCTAAAGCCTTTGATAAAGTAAACCATGAATTGCTGTTACACAAATTATTGTCATATGGTTGTGGCCCAGAGCTATGTAACTGGTTCCGTAGTTATTTATCATATCGACGGAACACAGTTTGGGTAGATAAGTCATTCCGACCACTTCTTTTCCACATCTGGTGTCCCTCAAGGCTCCACCCTTGGCCCGTTGTTGTTCTTGATATTCATCAACGACTTGCCGTCATAAGTTGATAACGCTCAAATTTTGTTGTTTGCCGATGGCATCAAGCTTTTTATGAATATTCACTCTTCTATCAACTGCAACGCTCTACAGCATGATGTTTCACAGATTGCTATTTGGTGTACAGCAAATAACTTATCTCTGAATCCATTGAAAACAAAAGTCGTATCTTTCTCAAGGCGTCACACCATAATAGACTGCGATTATGTCTTTCTGTTATAAAAGACCTTGGCGTATACCTTGATAATGTTCTAACGCTTACTGCCCATGTGTCACTTGTCGTTGGCAGTGTAACAAGAATGCTTGGTGTTATATCTCGTATTACGAAGCACTTTAATAGCCAAGCCAAGGAAGCCGGGTTCCTTGGCTCGGTTATTTTGTGCCTTAGTCAGATCTAGACTTGAATTTGCTTCAGTAGCTTGGAATGCGTTAAATAAAACTCAGGCATTGAACATTGAATATGTACAGAAGAGGTTAATATGCATTGTGCATGATCGATACTCTCATCGTCGCTTCTATTTTGATTATGAATTTCTTCTTAAAAAAGTTTCGTTGACAAACTTGTCCGATAGAAAAGCGGAACGTGACTTTGTCTTTTTTCATAAGTTAGTAAACGGTGTATCTGATTGTGGCTCACTTTTAAGTGATGTTAATTTACACGTTCCCTCCCGACCCACTAGAAATCGTTGTTCTTTTTACATTAATACTGTCTGTGATCTCTCGCCTTTATCACGCTGCTAACTGCTTTTTAACCGCATCAACAATGCTGAAGTGGATATATTTAGCGACTCTCGGGTGTTCGCGATGAAAATAAAAGTACTTGTTGCCAATTTGTAACGTTTGTGTATTTCTGCCATGTCTCTGTTATTTTAATTCCTCACTTATTATGTGTACCAAAGAAAAGACCTGTTGGTTGTTTTTGGCCACTTGAAAATAAATATTTATTATTATTATTATTATTATAATAAAAAAAAGAGACAATTTTAAGCAAACTAAATTTTCTTGTAGAAACGATTGGCTCACCTTCATTACCTACAATTTTTTTTTTTTTTTTTAATGCTACTGACAACAAGATTTGCACCATGTGCAAACCAATCAACAAATGGAATTCTAAATTTCAAGGTCTGCACTATGTAATAAATAAATGCCATTTGGTATCTGGAGTTTCATTTTATTTTGTAGATACGGTACCTCCCGTGATTGAGACAATGCAATATAATGACCAAACTGATGGTTGTCAGTGGTTACAATGTAATTACATCGTTCCCTCTTTGTGTTTTTTTTTTAATGGGCCCCTTTATTTGAGTATGAAATAGCGAACGAAATGTCTTTGCCTTTCTACTTATTTCTTAGGATATTCTTTGCAGCTTTGCATCCCATACCTGCAGGAGCCTATTCAAAATGCCACAAGTATGCCTTAAATAAATAATAATAATGCAAAAGACAAGAAGGTTTGGGCAATGTCAAGAACGATAAAGAACTCAAAACCCGCACAGAAGTAATAACTCTTTTCCACTTGACTCAAAGGGAAGAGCAATCCGTTACGAAACCAAAGTCAGGCGAAGAAACAACACGTTGATGACCTTGGTGTTTCAAAACAACAACCAGACACACAAAACAAGAGGGTCGTCCCTCAAACAAATGTCACTGCCTCCTTTTGTTTCTTGCTCCTTCCCGATGGAAGGTCGTCCCACTACTTTTTCTGAGGAAACGAGGCCAAAAGTTGAGAACCTTCCAAAAGGAAGGGTGTGCACCTGATCCTAAAGAACGGTGCAAGCGTGCCTGAATTTGCGATGTGCCAGAAACACGGCTCCAAGCGTAGGCAGTAAGTTTTCATTGGGTGTAAACGCTTCCGTAAATTCGAAAGGCGCGTCACGAAGAAATTCTTTTCTCCATCATTCCCAAAGTAAACTGCAATTATTGTTGTCGCTTGTTGATTTGAACTATCGAATGAAAGATGACAACATGAAGCTGCAAGCGGCTCTATCACCAAAACAAAATAAGTGAAGGGCTCGTTCCTTTGAAAGAGGGAGAAAAAAATATTCCTTTCACAAACATGATTTTCTTCGAGATCGTTCACCACGTATTTCTTTAGATTCTCCAAACAACTGTTAGCACTCCAAAATTAGGCTTCATAGTTATGTTGGCTTTAGAAGTAAATAGAAAAAAAAAAAAAAAACACATGAGACATACTAAGCTGTCTGTGCCCCAAACTGAAAAATGCCTGCGGGGCCTTGTTTCAGTTAGGCTTACATGCTACCAATATGCAAGTAAAATCATCAAAATTTTTGCAGGTACACTTTGATTATTTTCATACTCCAGCTTGAATTTTGTTTCCTCCTTCAATTGAAGCATATTTAATAAGCACTTTATTGCTTTTCACTCAGAGACAAAAATGCAGCCAGCTTTAGTAGAGTCCAGGTTCAGCGAAATGTTGCCACACAAGATGACAAAATGCCCTATTCAAGGAAGTAATACTACTTACCTGCACAGGGCAAGAGTGCGAGTAGAATTCACCCTATTCAACGACGCATACCCAGCCTTCACCTATGCACCATTAGTGACTATGGTACTGACAGGACATCGCTGTAAACATTAGCGTCATCAGGGATGGCTGGTTTAGAAAGTAAATTGCGGCTCCATAAGTGATATTCTTCAGCATTACACTTGAATGATCTCCGACACCATACATGATGTCATATATCAGCTATGATGTATTGCATATGGTATCTGATACCAGCTATGACGAACCATGTGCGGTGTCAAGCAGCTGTGTTAGGGTGACGTTTGTGCATTCTTTTTTTTTTAATCGGAAGTTCTTTAGGACGTCAAAAACTGGTGCACCACCTGGTGGTGTTTGACATAAAAAGAGTCTATAAAAAAAAATATAAAAACATGTGCAGTGTCACCTATGATGTGACATACATAGTACCAGATACAATGTATTGTATATGGTGTCAGCTACGGTGTATCCGACACCACACATAATAACAAATGCCAGCCATGATATATGGAGAATGTTACCACATACCAGCTACAATGTATCAGACACCATACATGCCAGATACCAACTGTGATGTACCATGTAAACTACCAGATACCAGCTGCAAAGTATTGTATATGCAGTGTACGGTGTCAGCTATGATTCATCTGACACCATAAACAATGTCGGATACATCATACTATCTGGCTTCTGAAGTCAAGGCCTAACAAACGGCCGATCACTCACATCGATTCGCGGCGATGAGCATGTTGAGTCCGGTCACCCAGAAGTTGGCCTCGTCCGGCGTCGACGCCACAAGGTCCAGTGACTCGAAATTTTCTCCGTAAACAACGGAGAACACGCAGTCCTCGGAGTAACTTCCAGCCACTTCCTTGTCACGCAGAACGTCTGTGCTCTTCCCGATCCGGATCTCGCGGATCGAGCGTATCGACACTGAAATCGGAGACGTCGGTCGGACTCGTGCCAGACCGCCTCGCAAAAAACCTCCGACATCACACTGGCACCCTGCAAAGGCTGGTTCACAAATTCGCATTCAAGTGCCCCCTAGTGCACTGCGTTTTCTTGCACCCACCACGACCAGAAAACACATTGACACTCCAGAGCCATCTATCGGGCAGCCCTGGAACTCTTCCTATCCGTGCGGAATCAGACTGAAGTTTTTTGGAGTATTTTCAAGATGAAATTTGTGCCCCATCTATGTAACATTGTTAGAATTACTTCAAGCATATGGTAAAAGAATGTTGAATAAAATATGTAGGTAGGTGGGAAAAGTTCCAGGGCTTCCTGGTGGATGGTGCCAGCGTATCCTCTCCCCGTACTCTCAAGCGCAAACGTGTGATCCAGCCTTTAGGACATCAGCTAGTTTGACCAACGCCGAAACCGAATCGAGACGGTGTATAAGTCTCGATTCAGTTTACCCTCAGCAGACAAGCACCGTGAAATCCCGAGAGATGCCCCACCCTAGAAAAATAGCAAGCACCCCTATATTTGACTTGATTTTTTATATTGTTTTAAACACCAAAAGATAGCCCACTCCAAGTAATTGTAGTGTTGCGATCAATGATGTACTTGGCTTAAATGTGGCTAGTTAGCTATGACAGTATATAAGCAAACGTTGCTAACTGGGAAGTACAGTCATCTTTGCTTTGTTGCCTCTAGTCACCATAATAAGCTTGGAAGAGAAACATATCCTACAAATAGCATTTCTTTTACTTTTCTTGCTTGTACACCGAAAATGAGCTCACTCCATATTTTCAACCGATTTGCTCTTGATTTTAGGTGGGCTATCTCTCCGGATTTCACGGTATCTTACAGCTAGTCTTTCTTATTGCCCTCGTCGCTGGTTATTATGGATATGATTCGTCGGTCGTCTGCGTTTACATGGCGATATGTGAATGGAAATGCATACTATTTGATATTTCACAGAACTAAGGCAAATTGGGCCAGTCGACAAATACTTGAGAAAGATAAACAGTTAAAAAGAATTGCAGAGAAAAAAAAGGCTCAAACATGACAGGGCACCGCTGTAGTGCAGCAGTGTCCCACCGCATTAGTGTCATTTGCCTCGTCTGCATTTTTCAGTCGTTTATCCCCGTCGTGTACTATCCCGATCGAAACATGCGCAATATGGCCTTTTTCTGCGTCTGCAGTCCCCAGAAGTGCTATTAACTCTCGATATGTCAAATAGACCGAAGTGTGAAACCTCAGATTCGCATCCCACTCCCAGTTTGGGCCACGGCTCTCTCGAAAACTGGCAGGCGGCCAAAGGAGCACGAAGGACCACTAGAGCTCGTATTGAACGCAGTAGTATACATCTCGCAGAACTTTTCTCCCAAACAACCCAGAAGCGATTTCGATCGGCAAAATTAAACGCTCTGAAATTCTGCAGGATAGCATACATGGGCAGTTAGGACAGAGGCAAATATTTGGGTACAACACTTTGGCAGTGAGAATGGAGATCTTTCACTCACGTCGGGCCTTGTTGGACTTTTTGGAAGACGGCACCCACTTAATGGCCGACAGATCTTCTTCGAGCGTGAAGTAGCGCCGGTACTGACGAGAGCTTGCCCTGACCTTGAGCAGGCTACTTCCCGTGATCATGAACTGGAGGCAGTCATGGGCTGCGCACACGCGACATGTCGGAAATGACTCCTCAGAACCCAATCAGAACGCACGACCAAACATTCGGGGTCATCTCTGCTGCTACACACTGTACCGACGAGCACTGTTCTAACTCTGCTTCTGTGCATTTCTTTTGTTCACCTATACCCTGCTAAGCTAACCAAAAAGCTCAACATTCCATGTACCGTGCTTTCCGGTACTGTTCGCATTTAAAAGTGTAAATTTTACATTGTCCGGATTATTTGCAGGTGTGGACTATACAAGAAAATTTTTTTTTTTATAAGTCTTTCATTATGACGAGACGTCGTAATTTCTGTGAATTACGAGTTACGTTAATCATGATTTTTGTATGATACGAGCGTCTTTGTGAGCTAATAAAGCGGGAATGTTTTTAAGGTGTGTCGTAAATGAGAATTTACAGTAAAACCTCGTTATAACAAAGTTGAAGGAGCGGTCGTAATTATTTCGTTATAACCATTAGTTTGTTATAGCCAATGTCCATTTCTTCCCACTATTAGCAAGCAAGGGGAATTATAATTGCTTTGTTATATCCATTAGTTTTGTTATAACGAGGTTTTACTGTAGGTGCAAACCAAGTGCTAAGAGAGGATAATGTATAACTAGGCACCGGGTGCACACTGTCTATGACAAAAAGGTTTTTTCCGTCAAAATTAGTTTTTTGAAATCCCACGCCGGGCGCAGACCGTAGTTCGGAGAATACGGTATCACCCTTGCTGTGACTTCGGAAGAGAAAAAAGACTGCACGGGCCTGACAACAAGCCGCGAGGCGAATGCAAAAATGATGCGGGAGCAGGTAAAAAGAATAAACTAACAGTCTGACGGAACTGACACTGCTACTGCACCAAAAACCGAAAAAGTTATTGCCGAGGGAAAAAAAAAATATATTCAGGCGAGGAAAGTATCATAACTTATTCCTACGGCCGCTGAATAAGCTATGCTTCGAGTGTCGGCACCTCATCCCCCGATATTGTTTCGTGGGCACCACCATTTGACGCTTCGAGCAGAGCGAACACTATTTTCCTATCGTTACGATCGAAAAGTGCAACTTCCCGAGCTTCTGATGTGGCGTCGGGAAGCTCAGATAATATCATTTGATGCGTGGCCTCTGAAGCGTGGCCTATTTAGTGGTATTCTCGCGACAGTATGAATTGTACAAACTTGGTAGCACCAATGCCTGCGCTACACTTTGTTTACCCGTAAGCTGACAGTACGGCGGGAGTTCGGCACCTGTCCAACCAACCAACCATCGCCCTTTCGTTGCCTGACCCAGTACGACTCGTCCAAATAAGATGTATCTCCCACTGCACTGTCAGCTTAGGGGTGAATTGAATAAAGGCAAAGAGGAGTTAGCACTCAACATAAAAGAATGACAGCCACTCTTTCTGACCATAATCCTTTTACATGTGCAGACGCGACAAGCCCTGCATACATACCACTGGAGTAAGCACCGGTGCTGAGCCCGGTAAACCGCTTCAGATATTTTTGAGGACTCGTCCCATACAAAACACTGTTCGAAGAAATGTGCAGATAGTCCCATTGCCCGACGCAGATACTCCCATAGTCCGACAGACGACGAGAACAAGTCCTGATCCTCAACTTCAAATGCTGTCGAGAAATTTTTGACATGATCCTTTTCATTATGATTAAAACTCCAGACAAAAGGTTAAAAAAGTAAGAATGAAGATAGGCAGCACTGGACCCAGTATTTCAGCACAGAAAAAGTCATATTCTAAGACACTAGCATTGTTTCTTTGCACCCAAAAACTTTGCTGTTTAAATTCAGCCAAACTTATTATGAAATTTGTTCCCTTACTCTTCACATAACAAAACAGCACTCAAAAGAATCGACAGAAAATAAAGAACGGAACAGGCAAGCACCTGTCCTATTTATTCATCCATCTTCCACCTTCACTCTTTGCATGCTATTTTGCCTTTTTCATGATGAACCAACTCGTAAGAAAGGATTACGTAAGAAAGGTTTACTCTACTATCTAAAGGAAAATGTTGTAGGCGTTCAGAAGCCTCCACCTGTTCAGCAGATATGCTAAAGGGTTTCACAATACAGCAACTTTCAAAAAAAAAGCCCCATTATTTCCTAATGAGCAGTGTCACATGTGTCTCAAAATGCTTCGCAACGATCTAACCTTTATCATCACTAAAGGCCTTCCCCTATCGAGCTGCAGGTAGATGTGGACACGTGCCAGATAATGGATGAAAACATTATTGTGCCTTTATCTCGGGCAGCGTCCCTACCGATTCTATATCTATGATCTTGCTACATGTCATATATGGATGGCAATTTGTAATTGCTGCCGTTGCAAGCTTATGCCACAACTTCGTGCAATCCTGTCAGTGTGGATTTATGGCCACGCTGGCAAGATAGCACCAAGCTCCTTGATGAAGGTTGCTTATCAAATCCCATTACCCAGGATTGCAAATGAGTCTTAAAAGAGGTCCCCAGTTGCAAACAACGGTGGGTCAAAGAAATCTTGCAGGAACCAGAGGTATACTTTCAGCTTAAGTCCATACGCAGCCAATGTTAAAAGCGTGAGCATGCAGCCCTGAACAGTGCTCGCACCGCACGAGCGCGCGTGCTTGGCAGGGATGCTGAAAGCCCGGAGCTTGCGCTTGTAGCATCGGCAGCGTCTGGACTTCAGCTGAAACGAAGAGTAGACGCAAAGCTAGCCACCTCTGTCTGTACTCGCTGCACAAACATATTCAAACTGTGAGTATAGACAGAGGCAGCAAGCTTTGAGTCTACCCACTAAACGTTCCAGCCAGAGCTCGGTGCTCCAACGTCCCCACGCCACTATCATCTACTCTTCTCCCTCAGTTTCCACCCATTATAAAACTTCGCATGATTTAAGTAAAGTAGTCCTGGACACTTAGTTCTGCCTTTTTTAACGGTCATTAACAACAAATGAGAAAAAGACGAAACATACCACTGCAAATCTTGCGCTCAGCCGGTAGACTGGTACCACTGTGAAAGGACACCGACTTGGGTATCATCTGACCGTGGATCAGAGACAGGCAGCTGGCACTGTCCCTCCGGTCCCGCACCCCCGACGTCGCAAACTGCACCCTCAGTGCGGAATCCGAGTCCGTGAGGCCAAATCCCCCCTTGGCACTCTCATGGGAATCAGAGTCCGATGAGCACGTTATGCTGTTCACCGACGAACTGACCACACACAGCTCGAGCCTCGAGGACAACGGAAGCTCCTGATCCGCAGCTGACGGCATCACGACACGAACTTCCGGCGACGGAGGCTCATGGTATTCCGACGTTGCGAGGCGGTCCTCACGATTCGACGGATCTCTTTCGGACCTATCGACTCTGGGAAAGCACGAGGGAGGTGTCGGAGGTCGTCCCTTCACGCCGGAAGATTCCTTGTCGTGGTGATCGCCGGAAGCGCCGTTTGGCTTCAAGCCGATGTTCTCCGACTTAACCGCCGAGCGCACCTTGGGGGGGGCCTTGTGCTTTGTGTCCAAGCAGACGGACAAGGGGACAAGACCCGCGCAAACGGTTCGGTGCACGGACTCGGACCCGAGCGAGAGGTCGGAGCAACTCGATGCCGACTGAGCCACTCCATTATTGGACCCATACTCGTGCTTCTTGAATTTCTGGTCCGGCGTCGGAGACGGAGGGACGCTGATGCTCCGTCCTTCTGCTACCCTCGGTGCCAGGGTGTACGGACTGGGCTTGTCGCTGTTGGACCGGCGCAGGTTGATGCACGCTTCGCTGGCCGGCTTGGAGAAAGTCGGAGCGCTGTGCCTCGCGGGACGGGTGGTGAGGGGTCTGGCAGAACTCGACAGCGCCGTCGATTCTGAAGCTTTGGTTTCGTTTGAATTTGGAGGAACGTTTTCTTGCTTTTTGGGAGGGCCCTGGGGTGTGGCGGGTGGCCTCGGCGCAGCATCAGTCCTCTCGTGTGTCGGATCCGTCTTTGATTTGGCTTCTGTGGGAGGACATTTGCACCTCGCTTCCCCATGGTTCCTCTGTCCTGATTGGACGTCCGGTGGCTGGTCCGGGTTATCTTTGTTGCTCATCCTGGGTGTTTCCTGCATTAAAGAAAAGCAGAGAGTCCTTATCGGGCGTATGCAATGCCCAACTATTCTAGTCGAATCGGTGCCCGTCCCTTGTAACAAAAGGCAACATTTATACAGTGCAGGACTAGTTCTCTCTTCAGATATGAGGTCCTCATTCACTGTTATAATGCAACAAGTTGACCATTGTAGCAACTTTCTCTGTGAAGCAAAGGCCAAAGCAATGCAATGTTAACTGGCATGGATACAGAGCTAAATTCTCTAGTCGTTAGACATAAAGCATGAATTATACGCAGGAGTTTCTGGTTTCAGTGCCACTGAGATGTAGTTTGTTCTAAGTATTAGCCTAATGAGTATGCCACACCTGTTGTAAATCCTCTAAGAAAAAAATAAGATTTACAACAATAGAATGAACTAAAAAGACAATCAGAACAGCTATAAATATAAGGCAGACAGCAGTGCAAACTACATCTCACAGACCATTCTTGAAGTAGCTTCACGTGTCGCACTGGAATAGCAATGGTAAGACAAATCGGAACACAGTAACAGTTGAGAGATTACAGACAGAGCACCTTTTGATCCCCCCGAGCACAGATCCTTTCGTACGGGGTTGTAAATAACCCCGCCCCATTTATTATCGCTGCAGCTCGATGTGCGTCACAAATCCTTTAAACTCTTCTCTCGTCGGCGACGCTGTACAAGGCACCAGTGTTTCATGAAACGGTTCCGGTCCCAAGGGGGTCCAACGGTGCTACAAAGGGACGACCGTAAATATAATTTTTTCTCATTTTTATATTTACGGTTCAACAGAAGGCGCCAATAAAACTGCCAGATGCCTTCTGGCCGAGAAGCGATTTCAATGCGCTGCCCCATCCGCCTGCGCTCTGGATCTTTTTTTACGGCTCAAACAACAATCTCGATCTGTACACTCCCCCGGCGTACCTTTATATCACTGCGTCGAGCTCAAGATCGCTGCCTGTCGTGTAAACATCGCAGTGTTTGCTCCAGTTACACAAACTTCCTGCCTCGCACATGACTAGAGTATTAGCCAAAATGTGCATGGCATGCTGGTAGACATAAACTCTCTTGCATGATCATCGAGGCAATGTAGGTGGAACAAACACTAGTGGCGAAGAAGAGTTACTTTGCTAGCGGTGTTAACGCCAGCAATCCTTCTGTCAGCTCAGAAAGTTTACGATTGAAAAGATGAGCATTCTACACCCACTACCTCAAACAATTAATTTGTCTCAGCCTAACCTAGACCCATGCGTGGAATTTAAATGCTAGGTTGTTCCTTTTCTTTATATTTTTTCTTCAAATCCGGGTTGCTGATGGAAGTTCGAGTGCCACAAACATTGACAACTGGCGAGGTAAACATAAAGAGTTCGATTTCACGAAGGATGTTCGAAAGCTGCTGTGCAAACCAACTACCAACGTCTTCAAAACAGGATAACGAATACGCAAACTCGAAACGTATCACGTCGAAAACCAAAAGGGGAAAAAAAAAAAGTAGTATGCACGCACGATTTCAAACCTACGTACCCCACGGTGCAGTGCTCAAGTCGCCCACACAACACACAAAAATTGTCAAGAAAAAACAAAAACGGCTTCAAGGCGACACACTAGCACCGCAAGCCCCAACGACCTCAGGCACGGAGCAAACTGGGCACAGCGACAAGTCTAACCTCATTTTTTTTTTTTCCCGTCGTGTCGCGCAAAGCCCGGAAAACGAAGGTTACTCACTCGCAGGCACACTCAGGGCGAGCGAGCCGACGCATTCACGCGACAAGCGTAACATCCGCTACACCCCGTCCGTTCACAACCGCACGCCCCGAGTTACAACTCCACGAGCCCTCAACCAAGCGGAGAGAACTCGCGCCGCTCTGAATCTCCATCGCTGCTGGACGAACCGGCTGATTGCGATCGCGCTCCCTAAACGCGCTCGTCTTCGTTCTGTTTATCCGCTTTCGTTATGTATCCCTCGTTCGGGGAAGGGAGGGGATAAAGAACAAAACCGCGGTTAGATCCTCCCTACGCTCGGCGCGGCGGTTTATCGGCGCAAACGATCGTCGGGGTCGACCCCTAAAAAAACCGCAGGCGCCAGCGCCTCGGACACGACGCCGCAGAGCCCGGAAAGCGCGTTACGACGACCGCAGCGTCGGTTATTTTACCTGAGATTCGATCACCGTGTGGGCTTGCAAGTGGAGCAGTCCGAAACGCCAACATTATCGGCGCAGGCGTCTTGCGCTAGCATCCGGACGCAGGCAAAGGGCCGCGACACCAACGCTACGGACAACTGGCGAACGAACCGAAAACCGAGTCAAAAAAAAAAAAAAAGAAAAGGAATCGTTGGCGTTTGCAGCGCCCCCGTCTCCTCGGCGGTCGCGGTGCGCGACGGTCGCACGGAGGGGGAAAGGGAGAAAGACAGAGAGAGATTCATGACACAGTACAACGCGTGTTTTGTTTCTTCTTTGGGAGTTTGAGGGAGGAACAGCATGAGAACTTACGTAAAGTGTCCCTCGTAACGGCCGTTGTCTGCCGCGTGGGCCCTTTGGCTACTCGATGCTGCAGTCGGGGGCATCGAATTTCGATTGGAGCAAACTCGAAATATTGATGCTGCCGTTTCAATTGCCCTTCGAGGGATGATGATTTGCACTGATTATCGAATAAAGAAATGAATGTCATTAACAATTTTCTGTGACGCCGAATTAGAACGCAGCTTTTGAGGAGGAGGAGGGGAGGGTATGCCCCTCCTCCTTTACCGCTAAATTTAAAAGGAAAATTTTTTCGCTAAATTTAGCGTACATTTTTTACCGTCGTGCCGTCACACGTGACGTTACGAAGGTAAATGTAGCCGGAATTATTTGCCGCCAAAAATAGCGAAAAAATTTCCCCGCTAAATTTAGAGGGAATAATGACAATGTTAGATGTGTGTGACGTCACACGTCACGTCATACGTCACGTGTTTTATAATGACGTCACACGTTACGTCAAGTGTGACGTAAAGGGGGTAACCCTCGTACACCCCCCGTGACGGTATATTTTGCCGCCATATCTTTCTAATTTCTATAATGACGTCAAGGGGGTAACCCTCGTAAAAGCCTCGTGAGGGTATAATTTGCCGCCAATTTTAGCGGAAAATTTTTTCCTTAAATTAAGCGGGAATGGCCATGTTAGATGCGTGTGACGTCACGTCACCTGTGACGTCATACTTCACCTGACGTCCCACGTCACGTCATACGTCACGTGTTTTCTATAATAATTGAATGATGCCACACGTGACGTCACGTGTGATGTCAAGGGGGTAACCCTGATGACCCTAGTGACGTCACGTGTGACGTGTTATGGGAGACGTCCCATAATGCAACGCGCCGTTACGCCGACGGCGACGGCGTCGCTGCTCAAGCCGGAAACGGACACCTGAGCTGCTCTCTAAATTACGTCTTGACGGTGGCGATGCGTAGAAATAACCTCTTCATGTATTTGTTTCTCTAACTCAAAAGTGACCGACCCCCCCCCCCCCCCCCCCCCCCCCCCCCAAAGAGACGCACACACACATAAAAGCCTTCTGGGATTATTTTATCATAAAAACAGGAAATGTATCGAGAAGCAAAAATACAGAAATGGGAATGCTCGTTTCGAAGATTTTCACGGGTTCACGGTTGCAACAGGCGCTAGAACAGTTATGCGATGCCCTAAAGTCAAAATACGAGGGGACGATAACGCGGCAAAGGAATAATCCTTACTCAACAATTTACTATTGTCTAATATCCCACATACTGTACAATAGATCAGGATATAGAAATAAATGAGCGCAGTGGCGTCACAAAAGAGGAGGAGGGGGGGGGGGGGGTAGCAGCCAAGTTAGAGGTCAAGGAGGTAGCGACAAATGCCACTCAAAAGGTTTCATCACAGCGTCTAAAGAGTCCCATCGTTTCCGTGACGTCGTGGCCAACGCGGGAGAGGGTTTTGCCTTCCTGTACGTGTTTTATCTTTCGACTTTGACTTAGCGTTGTGGAAGCCACTAGAGGAAGACTAGAGTTTTCCCCCTCCGATGGAAACAAATGCAGCATTGGGGGGTTAGGTTCCCCCTCCGATGGATACAAAGGCCACTTTCAGGGGCTTGGCTCCCTCCGATGAATACAAAGGTCCCTTTCTTAAAAAGTGGGGGTCGTAGACAAGTTTGCCTCACTCTGTAGCCAATATCTATTCATTGAACCGGAACAATGGTCGTTTCCAGTGAAGTATTCTTTCGACTGCGGATGGATTTGAAACGGGCGCATCACGCTTGTGGGAGGAGCTTCTCCTACCTTCTTGACTTGTAACCGGCTATAGTGACTCCACTGGATGACCGAATTAAGGTGCAAAAAGCGAAAAAAATACAAGAAGTGACCACGAGTGAATTATGATTATATTTGGCTCATTAGAACCCCGAACAACAAGCTCAGGAACGGGAAAGTAAACCGAGCCTAAATGATACTAATCTACAGGAATTATCCAAAGGGATTGAGAGCAGAGCATAATATCGAAGCAACCAGAAAGAAAATGGAGGTATGAGCATAGTAGGCATTTCCAGTAGGGGGATTAGAGAGATGTCGAATTAAACAAAGAGGAAAGCGAAAGCAAAAACACGAACCAGAAAGCTGGTGTGATGAAGAGGTCAAGGCAGCCATAGCACGACGCCAAGAGACATCTCGGGAGAGAGGTGGGCAAAGAAAAAAAGGGCCGGCCATTCCAGCAGACGTGCCTTCAAAATGGAAGAGCTTCTAGGAGAGGGAAAGAGAGCCATCAGCTTTAACACCACCCAACATTGGAAGTGCAGGAGTGCAGTGGATGATGGAAATAAATAAAAAAGATAGGAATGCGGCAAAAAGGTTTTAACAGCACATTAAAGCGAAGGAGAGAAAGACTGAGGGCTGGCAACACTTACTAGAGGGGAGAAGGGTAGAGGGGGAAGAGGCACGCTAATATCATTGGGCAGGCAATCGAAGATGCTTTCTCACAGCTTGAGCACAGGGAGACAGTGGAGGGCACTGACAGCAGAAGTGTAGAGGAGGAGCAGAATTGTATAACAATGAAGACGACCGAAAGGGAATGGAACAAGGCTTTCAAAGTAAGGAATTGTAATAATGTTGAATCTTACTCAAAGTAAGGTTTCAACAGGTAGGGCGACAGACCCGTGGGACTCATAAAGACCCTAAGGAAAAACAAGCAAATTTAAGTTACGACATGTGATTAGCAAACGAATTATTGGAGAAGACGTACCCAACGATAGGAAACTAAGCAAAATGAGACTAATATAACAAAGAAAACAAAGACATCAAGTCGTACCGCCCGATAACAGTAACATCTTATACAGAATAGCTACCTCCTTATTGAAACGGCGCGCGAGCAGCGTGGTTTATTCAAATGAACATAATCTTTTTGTAATGTACCTTTGCTTTAAAAATAAATGCGGACAATAAAAGCAAAACCTATAATAAAAACTTGCAGCTTTTCCACTCTAATGAAGAAGGAAGAGCAGCGGAGTTGTAGCTTTTGTTCTCGCGGTGGCTTTCCAGGCGAGCGATCTGCTCTTCTTTCGCAAAGGAATCTAAAGCGCTCGACGCAGTAGAACTTTAGGCGATAGCGGCCTCGCGGCGGTTGCGGAACCATTCGCGCTGCTGCGCACATCGCCGCTCGTTCCGTTCCCGCTCTTTTTCATCCGAAGAAATGTTGCCGCTACATGAGCGACGGCAGCAAGCAGTTCTCTGGTGGCCGAGGCAGGAAAGGTTGCCGCGATCTGTGAGCGACAGCGGCAAGCAGACAACCGGCAAACACAACACTCTGGACAGCTACCGCCATCTATGAGCGACTGCGGCAACCAGAGTGTTGTGTCGACATTAGCTTGGTACCGGACACGATCGTGGGGAAACTGGCCCTTAACAGCTTCGCTGTAAAAACTAAACGCGTTTGCATAACGAAGCCGTTCTTGCGGCCGACGATTTCGTCG